CTATGAATTGAAAAGCCGATTAATTGGAATGCAGTTACGGTGGTTTTTGGTGTATTGAAGACGGTTTTTGGACGAAAATGGTCAGTTCGCTCCATTTTATGAGAGACCGAGGAAGAGAGAGAGATGTAGAATTCAAAGTTTCACCTTCAATTCTGACAACAAAGATTAAGTGCGGAATGTGCGCTGTAAAGCGCAAAAACAACATACAGCAACATTGTTGGCAGCGGTGAAATGAACGCAAAATCAGGCAGCACCGTGCCAATCGAGCTCAACAATAAATTACAAAGTAGTTGGCATCCGAACAAACGAGGTCCGCGTGTGTACAATTTGCATCACGCGAACAAATTTATGGATCGAAACAATTTCTGACTTTGCCATTCCAAGGAGCTGTGCAGACGTGTGTGTGTGTGCGAGAAACACCTCGTATACACAAACACCATTAAATGGCCCTGAAGAAATTAGATATAGAATGAGCGAAAAAAAGTGCGAAGTAGCAAACATTTGAATGACACTTACAATTAGATTAAGACATATATGCAGCTACAGTCTAAAACATTGTTGACTCGACTTTGCCCATTTCCATAAACATGCCTTCTTCTCACTCTTGCAGCACATGTTTTTTTTCACTATTTCACACTCAACAAATGTTTTCGTACGTGCTTTGAATTGAAGCGTCAAATGAACGTTTTTAAAGTGACGAAGAGATAGAATGGTTTTGAATAGAAGATGTGAGAGAAGTTCTTGAAACGTCAAGACCGCGAAGAAGACCTTTTTGAAGAGAAACAAAGAAAGATACCGAATGAGAGAGAGAGAGAAAGAGAACAATTGCACACAAACATCAGAACTCGTTTGGATTACACAATTAGATCATAAATTGCGAAGCGATTAGAATGATGAAAAAAAAAAACTGTCGGCTCATTATTTGCAACGGTATCATCGGCAAAATGGCATTCCATCGCTGACAACATAATCTATTAGTAATCAATCCATCTAACATATATTTGGATTTCAAGCAAGATGAAGAGAGAGAGAGAGATAAGGTGACAGCAACTCATTTATTTGGTTGATTTGTGAAAATTAGACTGGGAGATGAAAATTGGTATTGGCATGGCTAACGGTCAAAACTCATCACATATCGCGATCGATCTTGTCAACAATTCGACTACCGAATGGCTACTGTTACGCCAAACATCGTACTGGCCATTTAAGATGACACGTATCTGAAGCAAGCAATTTTTTTCTTTCGTCAAGTCTCCGTGCAAACAAAAAAAAATATTGGCGGAAATCCATACGAAGTCGGTGTTTGTCGATTGACAAGAAAATTACAAATGCGTACATGCATTTGAGAGACGTGTGAATTGGATTGTGAAAGAGCTGAAAGCCATAAAGCCGTCAATTTGAATCGAATGTTCAAGACATTACATATATTTCCAATGAAACGATCAAATAAATCTCGATGCATACGTAATGGTTACGAAACTCGATCGGCCAACAAAATTGCTACCTTTGCCTTGTTCTGTCAAAAGATTATGTTCGACTTCAATCGCACAGAGACTGAATTGTATTCCAATTGAAATTGCACGAGCATACACACACATACATCAATTTAGATTATGTATCGAACCGCACAATTGACAATCAAATGAGAGATAGAGATAATATTGAAATTGATTTCCACCTGCGGTTAAATTCGCCAATTTCATTTGCCTCGATTGGCAATATAATTTGATTTCTGAGGCAATTGCGAACAAAAGAGACACAGGCGCGCACATGGGTACAGGTGTTCGGGCTAACCGCATTCAAACTGCGCGCAAATATTTTTCAACGTTCGATTGAAATCGAATTTAGGTGTACACTTTTTTTATTATTAGAGCTTAGAACGAATCGCGCACCTTCCACATTGAATAGACTCTATTGAAACATCAATTAACCAGAGCAATTCAATAAATTTGTGTAATTGTGGCTTTCGGATTATGAGCGAACCAGTGCATTGCCGCAAACATCGATATAGAGAATGAGTGATATAAAAAAATGCGACCGCATTTTTGTTCGTTGAACACTCGTAAAATTCCGAAATTGCATTTTACTAAATAAAATAGCTTTATCCACTCGCAAATAGAATGAATGAGAAACGGAATGGATTCCAAATCTTTTTGTTTCTTCATCCAGACTGTCATTCCAAGCACATATTTCCATTAACAGCTCATTTAAATATCTTTCGAACGCTTGAACAGTTATTTCGTTTAAATCCTTTTTTGACATGGTGATGCGATCGAGCGCAAGCAAGCAAATTCATCGCCCGCTCATCAATATTTTCGAAGCAAATATCCGTATACACATTTCACAATTTACATTGTAAATCTGTATTGCGTACACGGTTCAAATGGACACTGCATGCTGCCAAACAACTATTATTTGCTTTGACTGCAATTTATGGCATCCAGATGTCAGATCTATCTCTCTCTCATTCATGCCATCTTGCACTCACTATTTTAGTGATGCATTCTTTTGTCGGCCAACGCTGATCTTTCTGTTTACATGTGTTTTCGATTACACATTCGGAATTCTTTATGACTTTCTGGAGACATTGTTGCACGTAGATTGGTCGAACGATGATGACGGTGAAAGAGAGATTTATTAGGTGATTTCGTCCGAAAAATGCCATTTCGAAACAAAAGCCTCTTCAACATGATTGACTGCCGACTATGATGTCCAACGGGGCTTAAGCAATGAAAAAAAAATTATCGTATTTTTTTCAACTAGACAACAACCATTATGATTTTTCTACGGTTTGCATGCAGCGATGTCATTACACTTTTCATTGAAAAATAACAATTTATTGCTTTTGTGTAATAAACAATTTTTTTTTCAATCTCCTTTTCGCAATTCAACCGTTTTTTGAGGAAGATTCTACATTAAATCCAACTTTTCTATTCGCATTCTTGGTGACTTTTCCCTCAAGGGAATAAAATCATTCTCTTCGCGAAGACTGACATTTTTTTATGTTAAAATCTATTTTTTTTCGATTGCATTAAATTTTTGGTAGAAAAATCCAAAAAAAAAAAAATCTCAAAAAACCGTTTTTCTTGGAACAAAAAATTGTGATTTTCAAAAAAAAAAAACCATCAATAACTCCAAATTTGTATCAATCTGATTTTCTCATAAGAAAAATTCCAATTTTTCAACGATTTACGATTCATTCGCTGAAAATGTGTACTTCATTCACAGCGAATCGTCGTTGGTGTATTTTTTTCTCCACCGATTTACCAATAAAAACTCGCATTTCATCGACAATTTTTTCACATTTCTTTCAATAAATGTTTCACCTTTCTCGCATAAAAGTCGTTATTTACATAAAAGATCGATCAAAATTCAATAAAAAAGTGGTCACACAGTGTTTCGTATTGTTATGCCTTCAGCAGCGTAAATGCGATGTATTTGTGTGATTAATTCGATTTATTAGTCTGCACATAAAAATGAAGAGAATGTGATTTTATTGAAAAGTTCAAGCGAATCGATTAGGTTGCATTCGTTCACAAAACATCGAGCTCTGCTTTACATGCCGAGAAGGCTGTGCTCAAAACAAAACCAAAAATCAGCTTCGATTCGTTGTTGTTTATTTGTGAATGGTGTTTTTAAAATGAGCCAAACAAATTGAAATTTATTTATTTCAAAGTGAAAATGTCTCGATTTATAAAACACCGTGCATATCTAATTACGACATTGGATGTTTTGTGTTTATACTGCAAAATGAGTAGATGAAGACGAGCAAAACATCGCAATTAATTCTTAGTTTACCGGGAATCAAGGTGTGAGCGCGAAAAAAGTCCACAACCAAAGCAAACCGGTTCGTTCTTTTTAAGCACTGATAGAATGTTACACATATAATTACATATGTAGTGATATGTGTTTTAATTTCGTGTATTTCGAATGGAGAGGTAATTAAAAGAAAAAATTGGCTTTGTATTTGTTCGTGTCTCATCATTTTCGGTTTTGAATCATTGTTGGCTAATTTACGCTCGTTTCCAAAAACAAATACACCGACACCACGATGGCCTGGCCAATTAAATTGTTTTTATTTATCATCATCATTTTTCATTCTACCGAACGAGAGCCACAAACAAAAAATTACTTAAACACTATAGCTATAATTTATCTATAAATGTAGTTGGGTCGTTTTTTTTTTTGTAGCCAAGAGCCAAGCTATTGAATTACTCATGTAAATTTTACACTAGCTAAACGTTTTATATTATGTAGACACGAAATGTGAACCCACACATTAAGCGAGAGCACTCATTGCTGTTTTTGTTGTTGGCCGCAGACGTCGTTACTGCTATGATCGTGAAATGCCACATTTACCATGCTCCAAATCAGCCAGACGTGTCGAAACTTCAACAAAGCACTGAGAATAGAATTCAACACTTATACATCTGTTAGCGAGATTCAATTATCTCATTTTCGATGTGATCTTCAACGCAATGTTTATGTGTGTGTGTGTACATGTTCTAATTACGGAGATTAGTTTGAGCGGCAAGGTGTTTAACGCTTCTGATTTCATTCAATGCATCTCTAAACTTTAAGATTTTTGTTTGCCTCATATAAGTAAATATTGAACTTGTTTCGGTAAGAAAATCAGTTTTTTGTGCTTTTTAGGCTATGTTTGGTATTTGAAACAAGAGCAAGCATATGAAAATCGAATATTTTATTCCCTCTGTCTTTATTACTTGACTCCGATGAGTTTAAACGAAAATGATATTTTTCGATTGAAAATGATCTTCAAATCCAAATCGAGTCACCCGATGACATCTTTACGACGCGCTTTTAATTTATTCCACCCATTGTAATGAAAATAATAATAAATTATATCGCATCTGTTATTAATGAGATAGAAATGGAAAATTCAAAAAGAACCACGCGCTCAACCATGGAATATTTACACTGTCACTCGTATGACTACTGTTTACATTAGGCTAGAGTTGTGAATGTACTATATGACAGTGGATTTGGCCGTCTGGTTCTTTCACACTTTTCGATAAAAAGCCGGTGGATCTCAAGAATGTCATTTTAGTTAAAGTTGGATCGTGAGACGCTTCATTTCAATTTGTCGGGACATTTTTTTAAAATAAAATATCGAGTGAAAATGATCATTTACTTGTACACAGCGGTTTTTGTATTACTTCTAACGGAGTGTAATGCTGGCATGTTTCAATTGTGTGGTAATCGATAGTTCGTCTCTTTGGCTGTTTCTCGAACATTTTCAAGCATTTTATAAATTCCTACAACAGGTCAAAATTCGATTAACGGAAGATCCGAAAAAAGACGATCGTTCAAAGAATACAATGTCGATGACTTAAACTATGTTGGTGATCACGTTACATTTGCCTGTGTAGTATCGATGCTGTAAGATTTTTTTACTTCATTCTTTTCGATTTTTTTCGTGAAATTTTCAATTTTTTTGCAGTCAATCCGGATTTTATATAGGTCGTACAAATGGAAGTGTGCCAGAAAATTTAATTGAAAAACTAGATATTAGTGGGAGAGGACTGTCATTGTTTTTCCATGGGGTTGGAAACTTCATTTCCCTTAAAGACGGTGATTCTAATATTAAATTACTTTATTCTTTCATTTTTCTTAATTTTTTTTTCTCTTTAAATAGGATTTCTATTTCAATTTGCAAGAGGTAACATTTTTTTTTCTCTCAAAGCCACAATTCTTTAAATAAAATCTTAATTATTTTTTCAGAATGGTTTACTGCATCTGGAAACAATATTTGCATCGTATCGTATGCTTATACAACAAATCCAACGGTTGGATTGAAAATTGTGCCGCATTTAAATAAAATGGTGACAACAAATCGTCTTGAGTATGTGGCAAAGTTGGCGCGTGACTTGGTGTTGGGAGTACGCGAAAAGTGTGTGCAATCCAATCGAAAGTCTTGTCTCAAGAGTTTGTCACAGGTTGATGTGAGTGGATTTAGTTTTGGTGCACATGTTGCTGGACGAACTTGTGAGTTTTTGTATCAGAAAACTGGCCAACGAGTTAGAATGTTATTGGGTGAGACATGTTTTTTTAAATTCAAAATCAGATAAATTCCATTTTAATAAATTCTCGTAAATCAGCTTTGGATCCCTCAAAAACGATTCCATTTTTCGGAACCAAACCAACGAATACCATAAAACGAGGACACGCTAGCTATGTTCAAGTGATTCACACATCCGTTTTTGGCATCCGTGAACCACTCGGTGATGTTGATATTTATGTGAAATATAAAGGAGAATCATTTGTAGATGATTTAAATGATAAACATGCGATGGGTGCTTACTTCCATGTTGCAACGGCCACTAAACGACTTTATGTAATTGCCGATGAAAAAGATTCGGGAAATGGTACGCTCATATTTGCTCATGGAAATGTGCGAAAACCAAAACCCAGTGAGTGTGTTGTTGGGGTTTATGGTACACTAAATCCATTTATTGAAGGTAAAAAATTTGTTGTTTCACTGAAAAATCGTACCGATCTTTTTTGGAGTGCACTTGACAAATTTTCGGGCCACGAAATTTTCTTTGAAGAATATAATCCGAAACCGAGCGAAGAGGAAGATAAAAGAAAAGAGGATAACAAAGGGCGAAAAGATTCACCAAAATCGACTCGTTGAAAAAAGAATCGCCAAAGAAAGACTTGCTTAAAAAGCATTCATTGCAAAATGACTCCACATCAAGCAAGAAGGCAGAAATAATATAAGCAGTTACTTTTGTGTCATTATTCAGTCATCTTTTGAAATTGAAATTCCAAAAAATTGTGCCTGTTTTCTATTTGCTTATAAAATAAATAAATAAATAAATAATTTTTCACATTTGAAATTCATCAAGTTTGGTTAAATAGACGTTTCTATCAAAATGAATAGTAATATTTAGCGCCGTACGCGAGTTCACGTCAATTTTCGTGACAATCAATCGATAGAAATTTTAATAGAAGAAAAAATTAAACTCAAAATGATAATTATCACGGTGTTTTTTACGCTCTTTCTAATCGAATGCAATGCTGTTGGTGATTGTTGGCTTCCTTCCGAAAAGGACTTTAATGTCGATGATTTTCAATATGAAGGAGATCCAATTTATTTCGCGTGCATCAATGACGTTTCGTAAGTAAACAAAAGTGTCGTTTTCTTCATCAATTCTCAAATTTCGACTTCAATTACCTATAGCCAGCTCCAATTTCATATCACCAAAGTCGAAAATGGAAGCTTGCCATTGAGTTTAATTGATGCATTGGACAATGGAAAAGGTCTATCTCTATTTTTTCATGGGATCTCTTTCATGATTACAGATGACGATGGTAAATGTTTCAGAATAAATTGTTGAGCGCGCAATAATTGAAGATTTGCTTTCAGATCTTGATTTTGAATTTGCCCAAGGTAAACCTATCTCCATTCAAATGAAATGACTTTCTTTTTCACCTGTGGCCTATTATTTTTCCAGATTGGTTTTTAGCATCCAAAAACAATGTTTGCGTCGTATCATATGACTATGAAATAAAACGTTCGATTGGTTATCAAATGTATTGGAATTTAAAACGTATGGTGTCAACCAAACGGCTTGAATATGTAGCAAAGCAAGCACGTGACTTGGTATTGGGCATACGGCATAAATGTTTGGAAACTACTCACCGGCAGTGTCTCAGGCATATGGGACAAGTTGATGCGAGTGGCTTTAGTTTCGGTGCACATATTGCTGGACGCTTTTGTGAGTACTTGCAAGAAAAAACTGGCGAACAAGTTAGAATTTTATTGGGTAAGTGAAAAAAAATGTGTTATTGTGAAAATCGATTATTAATTTATATTCGATTTAAAAACAGCGTTAGATCCCTCAAAATCATTTCCATTGTCACCAAAACCCACGAATACCATCATAAGCAGTCATGCTGAATTCGTTCAAGTCATTCATACATCAATGGCGGGCATTTCCCATCAAATTCCAGGAGTTTCACATATCTTCGTGGATTATACGTCAAGCTCATCTTTTTTCAGTGCTTTGAGTGAAAAGCATGTGTTGGGATTTCTTTTGCATGTTGCAACAGCCACCAAACGACTTTACATAATCGCTGATAAAAATGGAAATGGTAGATTTATAAATGGAATCGAACATTTTGATATTCCTGAACTAAAAGAGAACGAGTGTTTAGTTGGCATATATGCGCCCCATGGCCAATGGAACTGTGGAGGGAGGTTTGAAATTTCGTTGAAAAATCAAACCAATATTTTATGGGCAGCACTTGGCCACTTTACTCGTTTGCTTTAACTTCTTTCGCCGGTGGTTATGGAATGTTGACTTATTTGAATATTTAATTTCTAGTTTTTAATTAATTATTTTCTAATGTCAACATCGTTTCAAAGTCATCCAATAAAATAAATATAAATACAAACATGTGTCGATGAATTATCAATAAAATTCAAAAAATTAGCACATTTTCTGTTTTTATAACTTTTATAATGGAATTTTGAGATTATATTACACGTACGCAGACGATATTTAGCTCATGAACGAATCTCTTTGACAACAATTGAAGTTCGAGCGCCAAAGAAAGAGCCCTTCAGTTTTGTTACAAATTTTCACAAAAATTGTTAAAACCGGCGAAGATGATGTTTTTCTTGTACAATTTCTTTGTTGCACTGTTTTTAAATGAGTGCAATGGTGCTCCGGGGGGAATATTTGGTGGCGGAGGATCCGGAAAGAGATCTTTAAAAGAATTTAACGTTGACGATTTCAAGTACTCCGGCGACCCAGTTACATTTGCTTGCGTAACCATGGAAGAGTGAGTCATTTATTTCGCTGGTATTTGTATCTATCGATTTTTAATCGTATCTTTTCTGTAGCCAACATGGATTTGATTTTTTCAAAAGTGAGAATGGTAGTATGCCGACAAATCTAACAGAACAATTGGATAATGGACGAAGTTTATCATTATTTTTTCATGGCGTTGGCAATATAGTCAGTTTCAAATATGGTAAATTAAGATAATATCACCCATTTGAGTCATTTTAATGGAACTCTTGAACTTTTTTCGTTTTAGGACTTTTGTTTGGATTTGCACAAGGTCTTGTTCTATTTTCTCATCTGCATCTCTTTTTTTCTATCTTGACATCTCTTTGATCAAATAAATTGTTACGTGCTTGTGCTTTTCATTTTCCATAGAATGGTTTTCTGAATCCGAAAACAATATTTGTGTCGTGTCGTACGCTTACACAACGAAGCTATCGATCGGATTACAATTTATTAGCAATTTAAATAAAATGGTGACAACGAAACGTCTTGAATTTGTGGCAAGGCTGGCACGTGACGTGGTATTAGGAGTACGACAAAAATGTTTAGCAACCCCTGAGAGGCAATGTCTTCGACATTTATCACAGGTTGATGTAAGTGGTTTTAGTTTTGGTGCTCATGTTGCTGGACGAACTTGTGAGTACTTGGAAGATAAGACTGGCGAAAAAGTCCGCATGTTACTAGGTGTGTATATCTTTCTCCCCCAAAAAAAAAAAAACAGAAATAACAAAAATGTTCTAAATAGCTTTGGACCCGTCAAAAACCCCGCTTTTCATGAGGAAACCTTCCAAGACCATCAAAAAAGGACACGCCGACTATGTTCAAGTCATTCACACGTCAATTGTTGGCATTTCTGATCCAATCGGTATTTGTTTTGCAAATATTATGACCATTTTCACAAGAAATATACGAAATTTTTCGCTTTTGCCATAGGTGACACCGATATCTTTGTAAAGTATACGGCCGAATCATTGTCGGAAACATTCAATGATAAACATTCGTTGGCTTTTTATATACATGTTGCAACCGCAACCAAGCGACTTTATTTATTGGGCGAAGAAAATGGAAATGGTACATTGGTAAGGAGGGGAAGAAATGCTGAATATCCAGAACCAAAATCAAATGAATGTCTTGTCGGGATTTATGGGAAACGAATTGAAGGAAATGTGGGAAGAGAATTTGTTGTTTCTTTGAAAAATCGTACCGATCTTTTTCAACAATCACTTGATCGTTATCACAACCATTGGATCTTTTTTGAACGATAAAAGTATATGCGGTCGATGCAATGGAATAAAATTCAATAAAGAATTTGCAACTGTCAATATTCACGATATTTTTTAATATTTATTGTGTGCTACCATCACTAGTTTGAATAAATAAATAAAGAGTCTTACGGGAGTAAGACGAACTTTTCCGCACTGTGGTAGTTGCGTATTTTATTAAGAAAGTTCAAAATAATATTTGTTCGATTTTTCAAGTCTTTCAAGCGGCGTAAAGTTCGAGACCAAAAAATATGTTTCAACTTTGGCAACAAAATATTCTTTAATTTAATAGCAGAAGTACCCGAGAAAAGATTTTTCACACTTTCATGATGAAACCATTTGTACGACATTTGAAAGTATTCTATTTTCTAACAAAATACTATAAAAATATATCTGACGTTAATTTTGCCATAAAAATTATTTTTGAAACACTTTTCATAACTAAAGTCACAAAAAATTTGGATTTTTGTATGGGAGCCATGTCTGTATACTACCTTAATGGCGTGAAACTTTGCGCAGGTTATTTTTTTTACAAATAACATTCGGAGGGTTTGGAGAAATTTCAACTAAAATTGAGACAATCCCATACAAAATATTCGTTTTTGAGCCAATTGAAAATTTTGTATGGGAGGTACCCCTAATTTTAATTGAAATCTCTTCAAATTTTCAGAATGTTATATTTTTGTGTAAAAAATAGTCTGTGCAAAGTTTCACGTCATTAAGGTAGCATACAGGCATGGCTCCCATATAAAAATCCAAATTCTTTGTGATTTTTTTGAGGAAACTGCATCAAAAATTGATTGTATCTCAAAAATAACCTCGGATTCGGTTTTCTCGTGCCAAAAAACCCCCCAATACATATTTTTGAGTGTTTAAGTCTACATTAAGTATGACACTCCAGGCATGACATTTTTTTCCATCAACCAAAGTCGCTCAAAAGCTAATGAATTCTATTCCTCGGGACCCCCAATCATCCTGTACAGTCAAATTTTAAATAACTTTTCTGGGTGGTGAGAAAATCGATGGACAAATTTTGCGTACGGCGGACAACGTACGACGTACGACGTGGAAGCGACCCACAACAACCATGCTCAAAACGGCCTGATTCGGGTTCTCTGACCTCAGAAACGTCCAGAAAACATTTATTTAATGTTTCGACCGTAAAAAATTATTCAAATTAAAGTACACCAATTCGGTCTTTTTTTCCATCAATATTTATTCAAAAAATGCCGACGTTTCGAGGCTTGGTACGACTCTTCATCACGTCCAGAAAACATGTTTTTGAGGTTTCGTAAATTTTGACCTATTGCAATACTTTCCCCTTTCACACTAGGTGTGTGCGGAAAAGTAAAAGTTGAACAAAGATCTTTCTTTCGACATTTTTTTACGGAAATAGCACGTTTTTTTAGGTTTCACTCATACTTATTACAAAAAGATTTCCATGTTTAATGCATGGTTCAATGTAAAGAATTTTTCAGTTTTTCTCGTATCATTACATGTTTATAAGGAAATAGAGGTGGAGGAACGATGAGAAGAAAAATGAGAAAAAAACACTTTCATTCATCATTTCCCTCCTCACCGTTCGTTCTCATTAGAGGAACAATCCCTGAAATAGATATAATTCATTTCTCAAAGAATGAAGAGAAATGTATACAAACCAAAAACGATGAACTTACCTAGAAAGTAAAGAAAAAGAAGTGATTAGTTATACAAATTGATGAAGAAAATGCGTAAATTTAAGTAGTTTTTAGTTGGATTTCTGAATTTTGGCTGGTATTTGAACGAAACTGTTTTTATTATTTAAGCCAATGAAATAAATTGTTTTTTTTTTTTTTTAAACTAGGATACAAAACATCTTGAGATCTGACAACTGATAACATTTCAAAAAAAAAACCATCTGTGATCACACGGTGAATAAATAAATAATAATTTGAATAAATAATAAAAAGTCTTACGGGAGTAAGACGAACTTTTCCGCACTGTGGTAGTTGCGTATTTTATTAAGAAAGTTCAAAATAATATTTGTTCGATTTTTCAAGCCTTTCAAGCGTCGTAAAGTTCGAAACCAAAAAATATGTTTCAACTTTGGCAACGAAATATTTTTTAATTTAATAGCAGAAGTACCCGAGAAAAGATTTTTCACACTTTCATGATGAACCCATTTGTACGACATTTGAAAGTATTCTATTTTCTAACAAAACACTATAAAAAATATGTCTGACGTTAATTTTGCCATAAAAATTATTTTTGAAACACTTTCCATAACTAAAGTCACAAAAAATTTGGATCTTTGTATGGGAGCCATGTCTGTATGCTATATTAATGGTGTGAAACTTTGCACAGGTTATTTTTTCACAAAAAAATAACATTCGTAGGGTTTGGAGAAATTTCAACCAAAATTAAGGGTACCTCCCATACAAAATATTCGTTTTTGAGCCAAAAATTTAAAATTTTGTATGGAAGGTACCCCTAACTTTGATCGAAATCTCTTCAAACTTTCAGAATGTTATTATTTTGTGTAAAAAATAGTCTGTGCAAAGTTTCACGTCATTAAATTATCATACAGGCATGGCTCCCATACAAAAATTCAATTTTTTTGTGACTTTTACAAGGAAACTGTATTAAAAAATATGTCTGACGTTAATTTTGCCATAGAAATTATTTTTGAAACACTTTTCATAACTCACAAAAAAATAACATTCGGAAGGTTTGGAGAAATTTTAACCAAAATTAAGAGTACCTCCCATGCAAAATATTCGTTTTTGAGCCAAAATTTTGTATGGGAGGTACCCCTAATTTTGATTGAAATCTCTTCAAACTTTCAGAATGTTATTTTTTTGTGTAAAAAATAGACTGTGCAAAGTTTCACGTCATTAAGGTAGCATACAGGCATGGCTCCCATACAAAAATTCATTTTTTTTTGTGATTTTTTCAAGGAAACTGTTTTAAAAATTGATTGTATCTCAAAAATAACCTCAGATTCGGTTTTCTCGTGCCAAAAAACCCCCCAATACATATTTTTGAGTGTTTAAGTCCACATTAAGTATGACTTCTGGACGAAAATTCGCGAAAATTGGACTCTTTTTCATAGGTATCACTACAGGCATGACATTTTTTTCCATCAACCAAAGTCGCTCAAAAGCTAATGATTTCTATTCCTCGGGACCCCCAATCATCCTGTAAAGTCAGATTTTGAATTAAGTTTCTACGATGAGCGCAATCTTGCTAACAAATTTTGCGTACGACGTACAGATTAACATAAACCATGCTCAAAACGGCCTGATTCGGGTTCTCTGACCTCAGAAACGTCCAGAAAACATGTTTCTGAAGTTTTCAAAATTTTGACCGATTACAATACTTTTCACCTTACACTATGTGTGCGGAAAAGTAAAACGTATCAAAAACATTGCCAAATTAACGTAAATTTTACCCCAATGAGGTCATGAAATTGTTTCACGATGCCTTTATAAATTAAAAGCTCATGTAATGTTACACTGTCGTTGTGACAGTAATTTCAAAGGTTTAACCACGTAAGTCAAGTTTCTCAAGTGAAAATGATCATTTTCATTTGTTCGATTCTTTTTGCGCTATTTGCGATCGAGTGCAATGGTACTCGTAGTTGCTGTTTTTCACCGAGTCCAGAATTTAAGATTGATGAGTTTCAATACGAAGGTGATCAAATAAGCTTCGCTTGTGTAAGCAGGGCAAAGTAAGCGTATGTCATTAACTTTGCCAAGGCGTATTCTTTAAAAAATTTCGATTTTGTTTGTAGTCAAAGTGCATTTCATTTGGAAAAATTTAACGGAAGTTTACCTTCAAATTTAGTGGATCTTTTAGACAATGGAAGAGGTTTATCGTTATTTATGCACGGGGCTGCAAATGAAATTAGATCCGAAGCGGGTAAATTTGGAACAATATTCATTTGAAAACTTAATCAAAACAAGTTGCCTTTTTACTTATTTTAGGACTTCTTTTTCGATTTGCAAGCGGTGAGCTTTTTTCTTGTATTTGAAAAAAGTTTTTTTTTTCAATTCACACTTCTTTCTCCTTAGAATGGTTCCGTGAATCTAAAAACAATATTTGTATCGTAACGTATTGTTTCACAACAAAACGTTCTATAGGTTTCACACGATCAATATCCAATTTGGGTAGGTTGGTGTCATCAAAACGTCTTGAATATGTAGCAAAGATGGCTCGTGATTTGGTGTTGGAAGTTCAACGAAAATGTGTGACATCAACTAGAAGGCAATGTCTTAGGAATTTATCGCAAGTTGATGTGACAGGATTCAGTTTTGGTGCGCATATAGCGGCACGAACTTGTGAGTATTTGTTTCGAAGCACAGGCGAACGAGTTCGATTGTTATTGGGTATGTTACATTTTTGTTTGTTAGTGAAAAGTTCTGACGAATTTGGTCAAAAAAAGGTTTAGATCCATCGAGGACACCGCCTTTTGTGGCCAAACCACCACACACTGGCTACCGAGGGTTTGCTGATTACACTCAAGTGGTTCACAGTTCAAACGTGCTTGGCGTTTGGGATCAGTTGGGAGACACTGATATATACATCAAACATAAACCAGATTCAGATCAGTCATTTTTGAACACTTTGGCCGAAAAACATGGCTTGGTCTTTTATTTACATGCTGCAACAGCTACGAAACGACTTTGTATTATTGCTGATAAAAATAAAAATGCAACTGGCAAAATTTTGTATGGAGAAGAACGACCATTTCCGGAACCAAACCAAAATGAGTGTATACTCGGAGTGTACAGTACGAAGAAAGAATATTATAATGGACAAAAATTTACAATTTCTTTAGTGAATCGTTCTAAATATGTATATGATGTACTTGGAGAATATACCAGCGATCGAATGTTCTTTGAATAAGATTCAAAATAAGACCGAATTGAGTCCAAATAAATTGCTTCGAAATTACATACGTATTTTATTACGCAATTATCGTTTTTAATAATCATCAATAACAAATGAAACATCTGAAAAAAAAAAAAACATTTTTCTTCAACTTTTTTGTGACCATGCTTAGAGGAATGAGCCATATAAACTATCGAAAGACTTTTCTACAACTCCATTAAACTGCCCTTCTTCTTCTTCACTCCACTGTTCTGGAACTTTAGAAGAATGCGTTTAATATCTTTACATAAAATTCCGCTAAAAGAACCAAATCCAAATTAAGTAGTGTGGTTGACATTTATGTTTCGCGCCTTATGGGGTACACTTGGTCCACCTGCAGGCGTTAAAATCGTCCAAAGATAAGCTTTTTATACAAACCACAGAATGAAATATAACAACCATCCATTTTATATAAATTATTTTCTATAACTCAACTCTTTTATGTCGATTATGAAAAGGAAAATTACTCCTCATTCGAATAAATAATCACAAAGACAGCTTATTTCATCATTCATTTATATCGGAATTTCACTTTTTTTTTTACTTTACACGTGTCTGTCTAGTTAAATCGACTCGAAACATCTATTGCTACTGAAATTTCGATAAATATTCCATTTAACACGTGAATGGTTAGTGTAATCGACTGGATTTTAAGATATAAATTAACACCATTCGCATGTGTCTACATTGGCTAAAGTTTGGCAACGCTAGTGCGAACACGTTGACTTTTTTTGACGAATTTTATCAGTCTTTTGAAAGTAAAATAGAATCAAAAGAAAAAATGTTATTTTTCTTATACACAATCATTTTCGCTCTATTTTTGAATGAGTACAATGCTGCACCTGGTGTTAAAAAGCTTTTTCGTTCGGTAGAGAAATCGGGATTAAGTAAAGGAAAATCAACCGAAAACTTGAATGTCGATGATTTGAAATTTGCCAACTTTCCAATAACTTTCGCTTGTGTAACCGATGAAGAGTATATATTACAAGTTCTGTTGTAGCCAAATGTTTCCATTTAAAACGGTTCTCATTTTTTACAGACTAATTGGATTTCATAAGGTTGTTGTTAATGATAGTGTGATTCCGTCAACTTTACTTGAACGCTTAGATAATGGAAGGGGCTTATCGTTATTCTTTCACGGAGCTATCAATCATGTCACTACTAAATATGGTGAATTAATTTGTTTTTATTTTTTTAAATCGATTTTTCACCGATTATTTGGAATGATTTTTTTTTATTCTACTTATGTAGGTCTTATGTACCATTTTGCAAAAGGTAGGTGTTAGTTTGAATTTAAAAGAGTTACGAGTTGGTTAATTTCTCATTTCATTCCCCGTTTAGAATGGTTCACCGAATCTGGTAGCAATATTTGTATCGTATCCTATAACTTTGACATGGAACCCGTGTCAGGATGTAATCCAGCGCTAGTTGCGCAGCACGATGAGGCAATAAAGCGACTTGGGTATGTTGCAAAATTGGGTCGTGACTTGATAACAGGCATTCAAGATACATGTTGGGATAGTGAAGATGGTGGCAAATGTCTAAATATCCATGAGGTGGATATAATCGGTTTTAATTTTGGTGCCCATGTTGCCGCTCAAACTTGTGAATTTTTAAAACAAAAAATGAATCAAAAAGTCAGAATGTTATTGGGTATGTGTACTTCCCAATTTTTTTTTGTTTCAAAAATAATTTAAAAAAATTTCGAATTGAAATAGCTTTGGATCCATCAAGAACTGCTCCCATTATGATTGAACCAAAAGTGGCAATAAAAAAAGGAATCGCCCATTATGTTCAAGTGATACATACAACAGTTGAAGGAAGAAATGGGGAAGTTTTTGAGAAAAGCGGAGACGTGGACATCTATTTAAAATATAAACCAGGCCAACCATTGACTGATGGTTTAGATTTTTACGTTCATATGGCCACGGCAACCAAACGACTTTATATGCTGGCCAGTGAAAAGGGGAGTGGAACGATAATTAAGAGAAGAGGAAGACAACCATTTCCCGAACCAAAATCAAATGAATGTGTTGTCGGTGTATATAGTGCTTTGAATCCGAAAAAAACCGGAAAAAGATACGTCATTTCCGTTGCAAATCGGATCGGCATGTTAAAAACAGAACTTGGTAGTTATGCCGAAAGCACAATACTTTTTGAATAAGACGGCTCTGAATAATCTGCGTGATCCATTCGGTTCCATCAGAAGAAGATCATTTGTATAATAGCGATCGAAGTGTGTTTGATCAAAACCTTAAACCTTTTGGTGAAAACGTTCCAAAATCATTTTGCATGTGCACTGCAAAATTGGTTTCAATGGCTGTTTTATACAATATAAATTATTATCATTATATCTTTTTCATTTCAGAAAAATTTATTATAAAAATACCAATAAAAGACATTTTTAATGGAATTTAGATCAAATTTCTCTCCTTACGTGTACAATTTATATTCCAATTGTTTATCATTTTAAATGAATGATTCACTTTGCACTTGTTTAACGTTAATGGAATTTCTAGAACGTTTCAGTTTTTTCATATAAATAGAATCCCTTCGGGGTCTTTAACTCATTAAAAATTGACAACGTTGATGATTTTATGTCAGTTTTTGTCAGAATTTTCGTTTATTCATCAAAAGATAGATACCAAGATAGTCAAAATGGGGATTTTCTTCTACACAACGCTTTTTGGAATATTTTTGACCGAGTGTAATGCCGGTTTCGGTGGACCATTTATAACTTTAATGAGACCAAAGAATCCAAAATCAAGAGTTGAACCAATACCACCAAGTTCGGATTATGATGGAAATCCAATTTCAATCGCATGTGTAATCGATAAAGAGTACGTACGATAAATTTGCTTGTTTCTATTCTCTTCAATTTTATGAATTTAATTTTAAACAGTCAAAAAGAGTTCGATGTGGTTGAAGTAACTCAAGAATGGCCATCGTCTTTACTGAAACGGTTGGATAATGGAAATGGTTTATCTGTACTTTTCCATGGGGCTGCATATAAAACCACTAAAAAATCCGGTAATTAAAAATAATATATTTTTTCGAACATTTTTCCTTGTCCAACGATTTTTTAAAGCATTACTTTTTTCAATCATTTATTAATTTTTCTTTTGTTTCTTTCTTCAGGACTCATGTTTTGGTTCGCTAGAGGTAACTATTTTTTTCCATTCTCTTTGCTTGGAAAGTTTCGAAATTTATTTGATTTTTTTGTCTCCTTTTAGAATGGATGACAACATCTGGCAATAACATTTGTATTATATCATACGCGTACACGTCAGAACCTTCGGAGTCTATTTCAGAAGTTGGTTTTTTAAATAAAATGGTATCACAGAAGCGAATTGAGTATGCTGCTCAAATGGGTTGTGACTTGATAAAGGGCGTTCAAGATATATGTTGGAATGATGACGAAGGTGGTAGATGCCTCAACATACATGAGGTTGATGTTATCGGTTTAAGTTTTGGTAGCCGAGTCGCTGCTAAAACATGTGAATACATAACGAAAAAGACGAATGGCGAAAAACTCAAAATGTTATTGGGTATGTACTCTTCACACCATTTAAAGATTGAGAAACCCAAACGTTTAATTAATATGTTATTCATTTGTAACAGCTTTGGATCCATCAAAAGACCCTTCTTTCTCTGCCAAATCTGATTTCAAAAGGCTGGCCCATTATGTTCAAGTCATTCACACATCAAGTTTCCCTTCGCAACAAATTGGAGACATTGATATCCATGTTAAATCTAAATCTGGCATTAGCTTGGAAAGTGGATTAGATTTTTTCATGTTCGTTGCAACGGCCACCAAACGACTCTATGCATTGGCCGCGGAAAGCGGTGATGGAACAATGATATTAAAAGGACAACCATTTCCAGAAGCAAAACCAAAGGAATGTGTTGTTGGAGTGTATAGCAATCCGAATCCAAATCAATATGGAAAAAAGTTTGTAATTTCTATAGCAAAGCGCGTAGAACTATTTAGAGAATCACTTGGAATGTATCAAGAAGAAACAATTTTCTTTGAATAAGCTTTTATTTGGTAAAGAGCCAACATGAAAGTTGATTTAAATAGTATTATTTTAAATATTAAAAAATATTGCTTTAGAATATTGTTATTCATTTTTAATATTAGGTTAAAGTCATAAACGGTTGAATAAAGAAATGCAAGCTAATATCTAGCTTGACAATTTAAATGGAAATTTTCCTTTTTTTTAATGTGAGGAATGTTTCAGTCTTTCTTGACACCATTAATAGACATTCCAACGATGTGGCATGGTTACAAAGCCGTCATCAAAATGGTTGATTATTTTAATGGTTTCTTTATTAGAAGCGGATCAAAAGTTTTCTATGCTTCGTACATCGTTGAAGTATCTTCGCAAACCATGAATAAGCTGGATGGACTTTAAAATTTAGTGAAATGAAGACCGCAAACTTTAACCAATTTAATACAAAAAATTAAATAAGTTTTTTGCAGACTCAAAACATTGTGTTTTTTGTTTTATTTTTTGTATTGAACTGGATGCACTTGTTTTTACATATAGAATAAAATTATTGAATAAAGAATTGAAAGCTTTCGCCCTATTCCCTAGGCGTCCAATTTCAATCGTCCACCGATTATTAAAAATCAATCACGATCGGCGACAGAGGATAAGGAAGACAGAGAAACGGAGACAATAATTTTCAGAGCTTAGCTCCCGGAAAATCGTGAAAAATAATTCGAAATAAAGTGTGGAGAATCGAGTTCTCTTCTTGAAAAGTTGTCAACTTCATTAACTTTGAATAAGTAACCTTCGTGAAATGACGTTGATCCGTTTGAAAAAAATGTTATTATTTGTACAATATAAATTATGTTATTGTCATGGAAAATTTTTCATTTGAATAATAATCATAATAAATAACATAAACCACCACAAAAACAGTATCTTGAAAAAATCGAGCTCGTTTCAATTGGAATTTCGAAATTTCCACGTGTCTAGAAATGCATGTCGGCGTTCTAAGCTCATCCATTCTTCGCGTGCACGCCTAGTCATCAATACATTTTCAAAATTGCTCAATATTTCTATAAATTGAGACCACACTTGACTGTACATTCAATTAAAGTTTGGCAACGTAATTGAATTTACTTAAAGCAACTTTTGAAACGTGTTTGAAGTGAAAATGACGATTTTTTTCTATACGCTTCTTTTTACAATGATCCTAAATGAGTGTAATGGTGCTCCCAACTTCATTTCAAAATTATTTCGACCAAAATCAACAGGAGATATCAATACGGAAAACTATGACGGAGATCCAATTGTAATCTCTTGCTTTACCGAGCGAACGTATGTGTGACGAAAATTATTGGTTATTACGTTGTTATTTACTATTTAATTATTTATTCATACAGCCAACGCGAACTTTATCAGGTTGAAATTAATGGAACTTGGCCAGTGTCTTTACTTCAACGATTGGATAACGGAAATTTCTTATCTTTAATTTTCCATGGGGCTGCAAATGAAATCACAAAAAAAGCTGGTAAATTCTTTAATATCCGTTCGCTTGTGTGAGCATTTTAAACATGGTTCTGTTTAATTTTATCCATAGGACTTATGTTTTGGTTTGCCAGAGGTAACTTTTTTTCTTACATTCTTTCTCTGCTGTCTATTAATTCCTTTCTTAAATTTTTCATGTTTTAGATTATTTCAAAGCATCCGGCAACAACATTTGTATTATTACGTACGCTTATACAACAGAACCTTCGGTGGGGTGTAGTAAAGCAGTGAGCAATTTGAATAAAATGGTAACATCAAAACGACTTGATTATGTCGCTAGATTGAGTGCTGATTTGATCATAGGCATTCAAGACATATGTTGGAATGATGAGGACGGTGGTAGATGCCTTAATATACACGAAGTGGACATAATCGGTTTTAGTTTTGGTGCTCATGTTGCTGGACGAACTTGTGAATACATCAGCGAGAAAACGAAAGGCGAAAAAGTTCGATTGTTATTAGGTATGTATTATTTCTTCAGCTAGATCAACATAAGAAGCACTTTAACAAAACAATTCATTTGAAACAGCTTTGGATCCATCAAAAACGCCTCTCTTAATGGCCAAACCAAAGAGTACCATCAAAAGAGGAGTCGCTCATTTGGTTCAAGTCATTCACACATCGATTATTGGTATAACTCAGCAAATCGGTGACATTGACATTTATGTAACAAAATCCAAATTGGGCATAGCCGTTTCTTTGGAACATGGATTAGATTTTTTCGTTTTTCTTGCAACGGCCACAAAAAAACTTTATCTACTGGCTGAAAAAAATGGTAATGGAACAATGATACGACAAGGGGAACCATTTCGAGAACCTGGCCCAAAAGAGTGTGTTGTCGGGGTGTATAGCAATCCGAATCCAAATCAATATGGAAAAATGTTTGAAATTTCATTAGTGAATCGAACCAAAACGTTTAAAGAAGCACTTGGCATGTATTATAACGAAGATATCTTCTTTGAATAAGCTTTTGTATCGATCAACCTTTTATATTTAATATTAAGTTAATAACAATTTACACTTGAATAAATATTTTGAAGCTATATTTCTTAAAAAAATTATTTATAATGGAATTTTTCATTTTACACGTGTGCACTTGATATTTTGCTATAATATGAACTGCTGTTTGAAAAAATTTTATTGTAACGTAAGCAAAGTTGGATAAGCCGGTTCAATACAGTTTTCGTAATTTTTTTTAAGATTCTGAGATAAAGAGAAATCTAAGTGGAGAAATGATCATTTTTCTGAGCGTAGTTCCCTTTTTATTGGTTATCAGTGGGTGCGATGCGGCTGGCGGTGGTTGCATTAGTGGTGGCTGCTTTGGACCAGCCAAAGAGAAAGAGGTAGTAAGCATCGATGATTTTCATTATACCGGAGATCCAGTTACATTTGCTTGCATTAGCTCGTCATCGTGAGTGTCGCAAGACTTATATGATGACATACACTATTTAAATACTATTCTTTTGTTGCAGTCAAACTGCATTCTTTGTGGCTGAAGCCAATAGCAAGATACCAGTGCACTTAGTTGGAAGATTAGACAATGGGAAAGGCATGTCACTGTTTTTCTTGGGCATTGGAAATGTGGTTAGCCTTAAAAATGGTAAACATAACTCTGTAACAGTAAGAACATTTATTTTATTTTTGATATTTGATATTTTTCATTTTTTATCGATCAGGTCTACTTTTTGATTTTGCAAATGGTAAGGTTTTCACAACTATTTTTGATTTTTTTTATTCACAAACTAATGAAAAGTCTCAAAATTTCTCCTTTGATTCATAGAATGGTTCACCGTGTCTGGAAATAATGTTTGTTTCATATCGTATGCTTTTAAAAAAACTCCTTCGAGTGGATTGTTCAACGATTTAGACAAAATGGTGACCACCAGACGGTTTGAGTATGTGGCAAAGTTGGCACGTGATTTGATCACGGGCATAATAGAAAAGGGTGCAACGCGAAATTTCAGTCTAAAAAGCATGTCACAGGTTGATGTGAGTGGTTTTAGTTTTGGTGCACATATTGCTGGACGAACTTGTCAATACTTAGAAGAAAAAACCGGCGAAAAAGTTCGAATGTTATTGGGTTGGTATTTCTTTCACACGAACAAATTTTGGATGTCGAATTATAATTTTTGTTGAATTTGAAACAGCTTTGGATCCATCAAAAACACCTCCAATATTAGTGTCGAAACCATTGAATACGATCAAAAAAGGGCACGCAAAATATGTTCAAGTGATTCATACGTCAAAAGTGGCCGGACAATGGGATCGACTTGGTGACATTGATGTGTACGTTCGATTTCAACCGGAAACGTCATTTTTCCGTGCCATTGACGATAAGCATTCATTGAGCTTTTTTATACATGTTGCAACAGCAACCAAACGACTTTATCTCGTTGCTGACCAAAATGAAAAGGGAAAGGGTACAGTAATAGCCACTGAACCAATGCCAAAGGCCAACGAATGTCTAGTTGGTATTTATGGGAATTTCGATTCAAATATTCCCGGTGGAAAATATGTAATTTCATTGAAAAATCAGTCGGATGTGTTTTGGGCAGCTCTTGGTAAATTATCAAATAACCGAATCTTTTTTTAAAAAACCATGGCAGCAGATCTTGTGAGCGCTTCGAAAAAATAATTGAAATCATCACGATTTAAACGGTTCATAGCAATAAAAATTGAAATGAATGAAAACAAGTAAACATTTTTCCTTATTATAATTGGAATTCCATTTTGAATTTGCGTAAATTAAAATTAAAACTTGTGAATTATAAATTTTTGAAATGTGTCGTCTCTTATTAATTTACATCAACAACATTCAGTTGAAGTTTGACGCAAGGAGTGATTACTTCAGTTTCCTTTACATTTCCTTTTTTTGAGAAGAAAAAAATGAAAATTTTATTCAGCGTGAGTCTCTTTGTACTGTTTCTAAACGAGTGCAATGGTTATGGGTGTGTTGATGATGGATGCGTTAATAGTGGGTGCTTTGGAATATCGAAGGAAAAATTTAACGTCGATAACTTTAACTATACTGGAGATCCCGTCACATTCGCTTGTATTGGTCGGTTACTGTAAGAATCGAGACTATTTTTTCCTTTTCTTCTTCGCTTTTTAATATTCTGTTTTCACCCCTAACATTTTCTGATACCCTTTTGTAGTCAAAAAGAATTCTATATAACTGAGGTGAACGTCAGTATACCATCACATTTGATCGATAGATTAAACAATACCAAAGGCATATCACTGCTATTTTATGGCATTGGAAATAAAATTACTTTGAAAAATGGTAAGAAAACGGTGATTCTAGTCGAATTTTGAGAATTTTAATTCAAATTTTAATTTTTTGTGATTAGGACTTCTTTATAAGTTTGCAAAAGGTAATTCTCTATTCAACTTCTCTTTCTCTTACTTAGTTTTCAGTGTCAATTTTTTGTTTTTTAATATGTAGAATGGTTCATCAAATCCAAAAGGAACATTTGCATTATATCGTATGCCTTTAAAAAAGGTTCACCGCTCGGAATTGTTGGTGATTTGAATAAAATGGTGACAACCAAGCGGCTTGAGTTTGTGGCAAAACTGGCGCGAGACTTGGTGTTAGGCGTACGAGCGAAAAGTCCGAAATTGAATGGAAAACCGAGTCTAAGAATGTCACAAATTGATGTGAGCGGCTTTAGTTTTGGCGCTCATGTCGCTGGACGAACATGTCAATATTTGAAAGAGAAAACGAAGGAACAAGCTCGAATGTTATTGGGTATGCATTTTACCGTTTTCCAAACACACGGATTCCTCTTGTTGATCGTTTTCAATAAGTTTTTTCTTTCAAACCAGCTTTGGATCCATCAAGAACACCCCCCTTATTAGCGGCCAAGCCATTGAATACAATCCAAAAAGGGCACGCAAAATATGTTCAAGTGATACACACCTCAAAAGTGGCAGGAGTTTGGGATAAACTGGGTGACATTGACATTTATGCAGATATTAAGCAGAAATCTTGGCAAAAGGATAAATCATTGCTGGATACAATAAGCGATAGTCATGGATTGGCCTTTTTCATTCATGTTGCCACGGCAACCAAACGTCTTTTCTTAATTGCCAATCAAAATCGAACTCCAACAATTATAGAACGAAATTTACCAATACCATTTACTGAGCCAACGCTAAAAGAAAACGAAGTTTTAATTGGCGTGTACAGCACTCTAAATCCAAAAATTCAGGGTAAAAAGTTTGAAATTTCATTCAAAAATAAAACCAATGATTTGTGGGAAGCACTTGGTCAGCTGTCCAGCGACAAAATCTTCTTTGAACAATCCAAACCGGTATTAACGGACGATATGATGGAGCTCGTGAAAAATAATCAAAATGAAATCGATCCAAATACAACTGAATAAAGTACAAACGCAATAAAAATTGATGAATAATTTTCGAGAAAATAAAATTGTTCAAAAAAAAAAAAATGTTCCAATTGTTTTAGACTGGAATTTTGTAAACACCGAGTTAGCAGAACTTTAAGTATAAATTGCGATGATGTGTCACTTTGTCTTATAAGTAGGCATCATTTGAAAAGCTATTGATGCAGTCAAAATCGAGTCACGTAGTCAAAAGTTTAAATTTTATTAAGCAAAAGAAAGTGAAAATGATAACAATTGTGTCTAGCTTTTTATTCGTGATCACTTTTGCTATTATTTTAAATGAGAGTTTTGCAACTGGTGGAGTTTGCTTTTCATCAGAAGAAATGAATATTGATGAATTAGAATATGATGGAGAAGCAGTTACATTCGCCTGTGTCAGCGACTCGTCGTAAGAATTGCAAGTTTCATGCTCTCTTTTACATTTTGATGTTTTTCTCTGGTCTATAGTCAAATTGAGTTCTATATGGTTGAAATTAATGGGAGCGTACCGTCTGAATTGATTGATATGTTGGACAATGGAAAAGGCATATCATTCTTTTTCCATGGTGTTGGCAATGAAATTACCTTTAAAAATGGTACGAATTTTAGGTCAACATTCGAATATCAAATGTTTTAACACGTTTCTTTTCATCAATCAGGTGCCTTTTATAGATTTGCAGAAGGTGACTTGCCACGGTTTTTTTTTTAATTTTATCTCTTTCCTATTGATGTTCTTTTCTTTTTCAGAATGGTTCAATGTGTCTGGCAACAATATTTGTACCGTAACGTATCCTTTTAAAAAAGATCCAATGACGACATTCGAATGGTTCCGTAGTTTGAATAATTTGGTGAAATCAAAACGTCTTGATTTCGCTGCAAAGTTGGCTCGTGACATAGTGTTGGGCGTACGAGATAAATGCGTTCAGTCGGAAGGAAGACAATGTCTTAGACACATGTCACAGGTTGATGTGAGTGGTTTCAGCTTCGGTGCACATATGGCTGGACGAGCTTGTCAATATATACTAGAGAAAACTGGTGAAAGAGTTCGAATGCTATTGGGTATGTATGCTATTCACGCGTGAAACATTGTATTAATTCATGGCAAATTTCGAAACAGCATTGGATCCATCCAAGACCCCACCATTTGGAGCAAAAATAAAGAATTCCATCAAAAGAGGACACGCCAACTATGTTCAAGTGATTCATACCTCAAGTGTCGTTGCACTGTGGGAACAACTTGGTGATATTGACATATTTGTGAAGCAAAAAACAGATTCATCATTTTTGGATTCGATTATTGAAAAACATCAATTGGCCGTTGAAATACATATGGCAACAGCAACTAAACGTATTTATCTGATTGCCGACGAAAATGAAAAGGGAAACGGCACAATGGTGAAAAGAGAAGAAAATGAATCATTCATTGAGCCAACGCCGAAGGCCAACGAATGTCTAGTTGGCATTTACGGTACAATGGGACAACGTGGTAAAAAAGGGAAAAAGTTTACAATTCGATTGAAGAACTCTGATATTTCGCACATAATGGCGGATCGCCCAAATAATTATAATATCAATTTCGACATTGATGAGGAAATGCTAAATGAATTGATGAATAACATGAATAATCAAGCCAATCGAAAAGAGTAGCACCGATTTTGACTTACACATCAGTTTGAATGGATAAATTGATGACAAAACTGAGTTTGTTTTCAACAAAATTCAATTTTTTCACTATTTTGTTCAGTGGTTAGTTCAAACAGCTTGTTTTCAAATGTCATAACAGTTTTTTTTAAATAATAGAATTTTGAATAAATTTCAATTTTCCATATTATGCCCATAAATTAATAATAATTATTATAATTCGGCGAAAAAACAATAATTTCACTCTTACGAATAATTAGACACAGCTGCCATGCCTATACAATAAGTTGAAGTTTTACCATACACCCATAATCAAGTTCGCAAGAATCATTTATTTTTGAAAATGATCACTCATTCTTGTAGGATCTTTCTTTCGCTATTACTAATTGACTGCAACGCAATGTTGAATTTAAAACAGTTCTGCGGTAAGTAAAAGTTCTCTTCATTTTTTTTCGAACGATTTTTGAATGGTTTCGAAAAAGGACGATCAGAGAAGGACGAGTCTAATGAAGTAGGAGATGCAGTTACATTCGCCTGCATCACGGAGCCACTGTAAGAACCCTCAAGTTATTCCGCTTTTCATTTTTCTCCATCGAGTTTTGGTTTCCTTAAATTTGTTGTTTCAATTTGTATGTCTTTCTCCTACAGCCAGACTGAATTTTACCATCACATTTGATCGAAAGGTTCGACAATGGGAAGCGCATTTCAATATACTTTCATGGGGTTGAAAATGTAGTCTTAAAAATGATAAGAATATTCCTTTAAAAACAGTGTTTCCTAAGCTAAGTATTTCTCGCCTTTTTAGGACTTCTTTACCAATTTGCAAAAGGTAACTCGATTCATTTTTTACGAATCATAAACTCTTCAATAATAAAAAATAGAATCAACGTATTTTCGCTATGTTCCTAGAATGGTATACTGCATCCGAAAAAAATATCTGTATCGTTGCCTGTGGTTATAGAACCCTTTCCAACGATTGACTTAAAATTAATACCCACATCAATCATGAGGGAACCACATCACAAAGGAAAAACGTTTTCGATTTCGTTGTTTGATCGAAATTTTCGGCAATCATTGCGTGAACTTGATAATGACAATATTTTTTCGGAACAAGCCATTTCAATGTTGTTCAATGTTACAAAAAATATCGGGAATATGAAGTTGATTTAAGAAAATTTGGATGATTACTCTTGAGTTTCATTTACAAACATTAGATTTTTTTTATGAAAAATAAATTGGTCTTTATAATGGAAACCATGATTGTCTTGTGAATAATAAAAATAAATTTCATTCGAAATGTGGTTCAACTGCCAATATTGAAATTAGGTCTCCTGAAAACACCTAATTTTCTATTCAAAAATTAATTTTTCTCTGAATGAATTGCATTATAATTTGAAAAGAATATGGGCGTGAGCTCAACATCATTTGAAATTCAATTTCAGTAAAATTGCTGTTGCTGATGGAGTCATTGTCATTTAGTTGTAATTTGGCCGCATGTGGAAGTTTTCGATTCAATTTTTACGACGTTTTTTTTTTGTTCAAAGTGAAAATGATCATTTACACGGTACTTTTGATACTGTATCTAAGCAAATTCGATAAGATTGAAGGTGGTATTTGTGGTAGAAAATCAGATGAATTTAATATTGATAATTTTCAATATGTGGGAGATCCCGTTACAGTCGTTTGTATAACCGAAAAAAAGTGAGTCTTCATTTTCTTTGTTTGCAACCTTTTGAATCGTCAAAACTGTCAATCATTTATGCGTAGTCAGACCGAGTTCTATTTGACTGAAGTAAATGGAAGTGTGCCGCCTGATTTTATAAAACGTTTACATAATGGCAGAGACATGTCTTTGTTTTTTCATGGCATTGAAAATAAGATAACACAGAAAAAAGGCAAGAATAATCAACACAGCCGAAAATAAAGCGGTTTTAATCAGAATTTTTATTCTTTTTATCAATTTAGGATTTCTTTTTTTCTCTGCAAAAGGTCAGCACTTTTTAAATATTAATAAATTTTTCTTTTCTGGTAGAAACTTTATCTCGTTTCATTTTCATTTTGCTCAGCATGGTTTGATGCGTCACAAAAGAATATTTGCATTTTTTCCTATGCATATACAACGGATCCAACGACAGCGTTAAAAATACTACCGCATGTGAGTAAAATGGTGAAAACCAAGCGGCTTGAGTACGTCGCAAGGATGGCACGTGACATGGTATTGGCCGTTTACCGGCGTTGTGTGAAGTACACCAGAGCACCGTGTCTCCAAAGTATGTCACAGGTTGATGTGAGTGGTTTTAGTTTTGGTGCACATATTGCTGGACGAACTTGCCAATATTTGGAGGAGAAAACCGGCGAAAAAGTCCGAATGTTACTAGGTGTGTATTCTTTTCATGCGAACGAATTTTGAATGCCAAATTAATTCTTGTTAAATTGGAAACAGCTTTGGACCCGGCCAAATTTCCACCGTTTGGCGCTAAAGCAAAGAATACTATCAAAAGTGGACACGCCAACTATGTTCAAGTGATCCATACATCGAATGTCGTTGGTATTTGGGATCAACTTGGCGACACCGATATATACGTTAAATTTAAAACAGAATCATCATTTTTCGAATCGATAGCAGACAAACATCAATTAAGCTATTACATGCATGTTACAACAGCTTCAAAACGACTTTTTCTCATTGCCGAACAGAATGAGAATCGAAATGGCACTGTCATCAAAAGTGAAAATGCATACACTGAACCAAAACCAAAGTCTAATGAGTGCTTGGTTGGTGTGTACAGCACTTTGAATCCGAGACATCGGGGCAAAAAGTTCACGATTTCTTTGACGAATTATCTTTCGGCCGGAAAATCGGGAGGCAAATGGAAAGTTCTTTGAAATGTTTTTTTTTAAACTCATTTTTGCGTCATTCCAACCTTAACCTTCTGTCCGTCCAAACGATATACAGGATATTTCCGTCTTTGGGGCGTACAGCTCCCGTAGTGAATTTTTGTATGGGAATTGGATGTTTAATTTTGAAATTGAATTCTGTCTCGGGTTCAGTACGCCCCAAAGACGGACAGAAGGTTAAAGCTTTGAAAAGTTGTAGCTCTAATGAGATTGAGATGTTATCGATTAAAAAAATATAATTTGATACCCTTCTGGGACTCATTAATTGACAATTGTTTTTTTTAATTCTTTTTTCTCTTGAGACAAAAATGTGCACAAAAATGTTGTGAGATGATAAAACGTCGCAATAAACTTGTTTTCTAGTGAAACCCTTGTGAAAAAAAAAATGACTGACTGACTATAAATTAAGTCAATTTTAATCACTTTTATTCGGTTAAAATTACTAAAAGATGATTGAAATCGAATATAGTCGGTTATGTTTCAGAGTTAACTAAAAGTGATTATAGTCAACATAGTTGACAAAAGTCAATTTCATATACTTATAGTTAACCTATGAACACAATCGACATTTCTCAACTCAAGTTACATGAAGACGCATATAGTCACTTATAGTTAACTTTAGCTGGCTGAAATATCAGCCATTTTTGTCCCAAACCCAAGTCAGTATAATACACTTTTCAAAGAGTGTACACGCTCTTCTCACACTCTTCGTATAGTTTTTCGACTCCCTTCTCACATTCTTCTCACACTCTTCTCACACTTTTGCATAAAACATCTATATTGAGTGATGGTATTGGTAATGCTATCACTGCTGTCATTGCATTCCAGTGGAAGTAATGTTTGTATTTTGACATTTGAACGTTTTTGACGTTTATAGCATTCGTCAGTTGTGTCAAAATACAACAGAACAACAATTGCTGTTGCAACAGCTAATTCATTTCTTTTTGTATACGTTCATTTTTTTCAAAATCTCAAAAGTAAACAAAATCAAAAACTATCCATCAGTAGAAAAATTTATTATATGAGAAGAGTGTGAGAAGGGAGTCGAATATAACTATACGAAGAGTGTGAGAAGAGTGTGTACACTCTTCGAAAAGTGTACTGACTTGGGAATTAGTCAATTTATACTCGGCTATGAAGTCGAAATATTTCCACAAGGGAATTGACTTCTAAATAATGGAAATGATAAATAAATTATGTTCCACGTGTACATTTTGTATTAAGTCAATTTGAATTTGTGAAATTTTATTCTTTGTGATAAATATATGATCATACAGTCTGGAAACATCGGTTAGTTGAAATTTGGCATTGAGTGAGTTTACTTTAATTTGTGAAAATTTGTATTATAAGTGAAGACTAGGCAAAAATGATCACAAAGTTGTTTGTCATATTCTTTGTGCTGTTTTTAAAGGATGGTGAAGCCACACCAAACGAATTGTACAGTGAGTATGCCGATTTCAATTAGTTTAATTCTTCTGCTTTTTTTCGCACACAATAATTTTTCAAAATTACTTTATTCACGGTTTTTTTTTCTTCAAAAAGGACCGAGATCGTTCACCGATTTGTTGTTCAGTAAGTAGTATTTGATCTTGTCTTGAAAAACTTACGAATTATATGTATTATTTTTGCTTTTTCAAAAGAACAAAATTCAGTTACCGAATTGAATATCGAAGATTTCATGTATATTGGAGAACCGATATATGTCGCATGTGTAAGCAACGAAAAGTAAGAATTTATTTCCACGTCCGCCTTTTCTATTTCACCACATTTAGTGCTTGCGTAAATGAATGAATATTTCATCTTTTTTTCATTGAAATTCGCGCAGTCAAACCGAATTTGACATGGAAGAAGTCAATTGTGCGGGTGGAGTGTCCCAAGACTTAATTAAAAAGTTGAGTAATGGAAAAGGCATTTCATTGTTTTTTCATGGAATCGGCAATAGAATTTCTAAAGACGGTAAAAGAAACTTTTGCGCATATCATTTCAACCAAACCAGATATTACTTATTTTTTTTTGTATTATCTATTTTAATTAGGGCGGTTTTTTGAATTTGCCAAAGGTAATGTTTTGTTGTCAAATTTTTGTGATTCACAATTAGCTTTGTCACTTTTTTCGTCCTCATTTTTGTGTGAATTCCCATTCTACTTTTATTTTATTCATTATTTGATCGAGAAAAAAAACCGAAATTTTTATAAATATTTTAGAATGGTTTGCTGCATCTCAAAAAAATATTTGTGCAATTACGTATGCATTTTATGAGTCAACCACATTGATGAATGTTGTATTCCATTTGCACGATATGGTGCGAACGAAGCGAATAGAATTTGTGGCGAAGCAAGCGCGTGACTTGGTGTTGGGTGTTCGCGATTATTGTATAAAAAATAAACGAAAGACGAGTCTTAAACGTATGTCCGAGGTTGATGTGACTGGTTTCAGTTATGGTGCCCATATCGCAAGCAAAACGTGTCAATACTTGTTTTGGAAAACGAAACAAAAAGTCAAGATGTTATTGGGTATGTGAAAGTGTATTTTACTCCCTTCGTATTTAATTTCTTCTTTGCGAATTTAAAAAAAAATCATATCTTTTTCTTTTGAAATAAGCTTTGGATCCGGCTAAAATACCATTCTTTTTATCGAAGCCAAATCCGGCCATCAGCAAAAATGACGCTGAATACGTGCAAGTGATTCACACATCCTTTTATGGTATGAATGAAAGAGTGGGTCACGTTGACATCTTTGTCGACTATAAGTCAGATGGGGGTCAAGTGAAACATGCATTGGCACTTTATGTGCATGTTGCAACAGCAACACGAAGACTTTTCATGATGGCAACCGACAAAGGAAATGGTACGGTGACAAAAGGTCGGGGACAAACAACACCAACACCAAAACGAAATGAATGCTTGATTGGTTTATACGGTACGATGAATCGAAATAACGATGGGAAAAGATTCGAATTTTCACTGACAAAACATAAGATACCGTTTTGGCATACCGTTTGCGAGTATCGAAACAGTGAAATGTTCTTTATGGAAGAGCCAGAAGACGATAGCAGTAGTTTCATTGATATTACCGAATCAAGTCTTACCGACGATTTGCCTTCAACGTCATTTGAATCGACGGCACAAGAGTCGTCTTCGGCTCCGACACAAGCATCACCCTCGAGATCATTTGAAGCGACGGCAAAAGAGTCGTCTTTGACATCATTTCCATCCCCGTCAGAAGAACTACACAGAAGATCATTTCAATCGACGCCACAAGCGTCGCCTTCAAAACCACTTAAAACAGCCAAAAAAACGTCGCATTTGAAACCAAAAATAGCGACAATACAAGAATCGCCTTCAGGATCATTTGAAGCGACGGCACAAGTGTCATCTTTGACATCGTTTTCGTCTCCGACAGAAGCATCGCCCAGAAGTTCATTTGAAACGACGGGACAAGAGTCGCTTTTGACATCGTTTCCATCCCCGACAGAAGACCCAACCAGAAAATCATTTCAAGCGACGCCTTCAAGACCACTTAATCCAGCAAAAAAAGCGTCGGCTTCGAAATCGAAAACTACGACAAGAGAAGAATCGCCAGCGATAACATACTTCAAAAGATAAGATATAATTAAAATTAGCAATTCGAGAACTTGAGCTTTTTTGGAAAAACCTTTCGACAAGCTCAACACGTTTTTTCTTGTTCTTATTAATTGATCATTGAATTGATGTAAATTTGATTGAATAAAAAGATCGTTTTTATTCTCTTCGATTGACGTACATTCACTCGAAATTATTCTTATTTCTTTCTCACGATGGCAAATAAAATGTTTCTGTTTTGCCAGAAACTGGAACAGACGTCAATGCAAATACAATTCACTGAACTCGTAAAGTTCACATGTTTGCCAACGATATACTCTGATCATTGTTTTGGCCATCAGTAAGCTACACATTCAGGCGGAACAAATTTCTTCGTTTCAGACTCTCACTCTCTTTCGATAACACTTTAATTTATTTACCTAATCGTGAACATGACCTTCATTGGCTATATTTATCGATACGCGCATACGTCGAGCATTGAACAATTCAAGCTGCTCAAAATATTGCTGCTCTCGTATATTTAAGTAGCTTCAATCATCGGTTATCTTATTTTAAGTCGTAACAAGTACACACGTAAACACTTGAAATTTACGCATAATATTACGCCAACTGCAAACGGCACGCCGAAAATCGAATGTCACGGCCAAATTCGCAAAACAATCACGAATGTAAACAACGAAACCGTCAACAAATAAACAACACATTTTAATTAGCATAGGTACATAAACAAACATTTTTATGGTCTTTCGACAGTTTTTTTCCTGTTTTTTGACGCAAACGGAACCTAAACACATTTAAATTGATGTGAAGAATTGATTTGAGAATGATCAACACTTGAATTGAATGGACATTTCGGCATAGATTCTAGCGGTAAGATTACTTTGAAGTCATTCGGATCTGGTGCATAAGCTCTTGGAATAGGTAAAAACGCAAATATTCTTCGGAACTTTCGCCAGAGTTTCCGAAAACCGTTTGAGGCAAAATATCTACGAAAATCACATCATGCCTTGACCAAGAAAGTAAATGTCATCAAGTCAGATTGTCTATTTCAAATAAAAAAAGTCATTTGTTCTCAGAAAATAGCGATAAATAAAAAAAAAACGAACGTACAAAAGTGATTGTGTGTTATTTTTTCTTTGATCACATGTTCGCTTCCATAAAAAGTCATATAAATTGCAATACACGGTAAAATTCCGTTCGATACAAACGAGACACGCTCATTTCAAATTTCAAAGGTGCGAGAATAAAGTGGTACCTTTTTGAAAATATTAAATCCAAAATAAAAAAAGTCGTCTCGTACTTGACTCGACAGCTTAGTTTGACAAAAATGAAATCGTGACAATATGGTTCTAAAATTGTATAGAAAAGCATTTATTCGTTTGTTATTGTATTTGTTCGTGCATTAAATAAGTATGTTTCTCTGTAACTCTTATCTGTTCTCTTGTCTCTCTCTCTCGATATGCCCACACGTCAGTTGGGTAAAAGGTTTAAAATTACGTCAATTTTCGTTTGCCATATAAATCTCGGTTATTGTGCGATATACACAATTGTCATTTTAACGATCAAATTTGGCATAAAACGCCCCGCATTCAACCTTCTCCACATTCTGTCTCTCATTCTATTGCTCATTCAAATGCCATTTCAAATAGAAATAATTACTTTTTGCAACTGTGTGCTTTTCTATTATTTTATTTTTATTTTTTTCTATCGTGTTCACTTTAGATTAATGTATCTGTGAAATCTCTCGTGCGATCGAGATAAAACCACCTGCTTGAACAAATAAACATAAAATTATTTTTTTGGCGATTACATCAGTGTGCCGCAAAATGTTCAATTGTTGCTATCATCGGGAAGTGTTGTGAAACAACACAAAAAAATGATTCTTTTGAAATGTGTTATCTGTGGCAGGTCTATCGGGTCGCTAAATCACATGATGGATTTGACAAATAACGCAACCGCTACTATTCCGTCTTGTTTCATTCGGTGCGATGTTGCACACACACATGCAAGCATCAAATTTGCCAGTTTGATTTATCGACACTTGTTACAAATTTATTATCGAATTTTTGATGTGTACGAAACTCACTGGCACTCGATCGGCAGCAAAACTCCGAAAATCCAAGTCCAAATACATTAATTTTTGGATTTTTTTTTTCGTTTTTCTTATCGATGTGAGCGCAACATTTCTAAGACGCAGAATTTTATAACTTTTAAAAGCGTTTTCGCAACAAGAGTCCAAATATATTATTGAATTTTTATTGATTGTCGTAAAAAATCAATTACACGATCATGAAAAAAGATATGTGTATGAGCCCGCTTTTTGGCGAAATGGCCATAAATTATATATACTATCGGTCGAGGGAATGTAACATGCATAGGCGACGATGTTTAGGAGAAAAAAAGAAACCATCTGCACCGGGAGCTTGTATATTTTTAGAATAATTCCCGCAAAACACATGTGTGCGCGCACTCGATCTACGAGAAATGCAACGAGGAGAGAGAAAAAGAGCTAATGAAATATTACATACACGATTTACGTCTAATTTTATCCACCAGAAAAAGTTCAATTAACATCGACGCGATTGCCAACATTTCGATATTTCTTTGAATCATTACAAAACCGTTCGACCAATATTTTGTGATTTTATCGTGAATTTTATGCTTGAAGGAATTCTAAATAGAACTTCGACTTGAATTGAACATTTCAACGTTTTTCTTCAACGAAACAACAACATTCATTGATTCGTTAGGAATATTTTTATTTAGAACGATTCGAAGATTATTTTAGCTGCTTTTTAACAAAATTCAATTTTAATTAACGACTTCTCTGAGTTTTCGGATAAAATCTAGAAATTTTCGAATAGAAGTTTTCTTTTGTCTAATTATTTCTGCGTTTTTAGGTTATTTTCAATTTTGGGAGAGCCTGATTTACCACATGCAGTAATGAGAGAAATATTGAATTTTGTAACCAAAATAAGAGCTGACGTTGTCGATTCCAGAACAATCAAATCCTTCGTTAAAAAGTCTTGTTGACCATCAACAAATAAAACCATCATGAACAAAACTCGAAAAAAAATTCGCCAACCCGTAGGAGATCACCATAATTCATATTGGTCGACATAAAAACAGTTCGACTTGTGAGTTCGCGATAAGAATCTTTTCCATTTGACTCATTCTTTCGGTTTGTCTCGCTAAATCACCCGGATTTTGAAGTTGTAAATGACGAAAATATGTCATGTTTTGTCATTTATATTCGGTGTAATAAATGGTCGACACACTCAAAAAGAATTTAACATGGGTTCCACCGAGACTTTTGACACGCGATCACAGCAAGAAGAACAAATGATGCACAAAGAACGAGCTAATCGATGTTTTTCTTTATGCGATGCAAGACGAAATGAATTTTATTTCATGAATTCGTTACCGCCGCATTGACATGTGTGTGTGTGTGTGTGTGAGGTGATGGTTGCACCCATCTTCCATTGTTATTCGGCACGATCGCATCTTTGTTTTCATTAGACGCGTATTGTACGCGAGCGTGGCATTCCATCGAACGGAGACAGGGAATGCGACTAATTTCGTGTTGTTATTTTGATTTATGGATTCTAACAGGCTCGATGTATGCAGGCACCATGCACACCAGTCGCCAGACTCATCATCATGCCTTGCCTTTTGTTATGCAAATTCCACGAGACGACGAACAAAAAGAATGAACAGAAGCTCACGAGAATACACGAACATCGCAAAAATACATCGACGCATTTAACGCGGTGTCGACGGAATGCTTGGTCTGATTTTGATTAAACCAATTTTCATTTAAATGGACACAGTTTAAACAGACACCAACAAAGAACATATGAATAAGAATAGAAAAAAAAATGGTGTTGACCATTTTTTTGGCTTTGAATGGATTTATGCGAGTTTGAGCGCGACTTGAACAGTGAAAACATTTGGCTGATCTGAAGAAATTTTGAATTGAAACATAATTTCATTAGGCATCACAAAATTAAATCAGAAATTTACGAGAATTATGAACTCAACATTTGTTTACAACATTTTAACCAAGCGTCTCCATTTCATAATGGGATTAAAATTGCTTTTCATTCTATGAATTGAATGGGCAATTTTTTAATCACTTTGTTTTGCTTATTGAACTTGTTTTTTCATTCAAGTCGTGTAATGACATTTGCATAATAAATAAAATGGAAATTTTTTTATGAATTTTGGATAAAATATGAAAATAAACGATTTTCAAAAATAATTCCATTGGAATGTTACTTATGGCTTTGTTCAAAGTCTCAAAAGTAGGTAGTGAGACTTACAGTTTCTCCGCTGTTTACATTCAACAGATTAAAGGAACACAAAAAAAACGTTTTCGATTGAATTGTTTGATGTTTCGTTCCTAGGAAATGCTTAGATCCAAAATATTGACTGGTGTGCAAACGGGCCGGAATCCAATAATACCTTAAAAACTGCAATCTTCACAAAAACGTATCTCAACTCAATATAAATGTCAATTTAAAGATTTCGCTCATAAATCGAAACCGAAACACAAACTTTCTGAAAATGGTTAAAAAGTGTTCGATTTTTTTCAATAATAATCGCAATTTTTTCGATTCGTTAAAAAGTCGTACGTTTCTCGATAAAAATCGAACTATCAGTTTAATTTTATTTCCCATTAAAATCTAACAGTGTTTTCTTTCTAATCAAAATCGAATCTCCTTTCAAAAATTGATGTCTCTTTCAACCGAAAAAAAGAGAGTATAAACAGAAAAAAGCACCGAGCGTTTAAACTTGGGTCAATTTCTTTCTATAAATCACTTAAATAATTTTGCCGTCAACTGTAAACACAAATGGCACCAGCGATCATTAAAGTGAAAAAAGCGCAACAACCGTATCTTCATATAGTTACGAAAAAATAAACATCAATCTATTGCCATTAATGTGTGTGATTTATCAAAATGTGCAATCAGCGATTCGAACCATTAGTTTGTGTGTGCGATCTTTTTAAATTGATCGAAAATGGTAGAGTTTTTTTTTCTTCAAATTGATCGTAGATGATGATTGTCACATCATCTGCATTCCATTTATGTACCGTGCTGAATTCTTCCGAAGAGAGAGTGTGCGATAATAATTTCCTTCGGACATTTTAAATTGTGCTCTGCGTAAACATTTGCTCTAATCGCAATGCACGTATATAATTACGATGTAGCTCACTCATTTGAAGTGTGTGTGCACGGGCTCATTAAAACTTTCTGCTATGGAATTCTGCCGTTTTGACGTCAATCTATGCCTTCTTTCAGCGCGCGATCGCGTAAATCATCATTTATTGTAGTTGTTCGATCTGTTTACAACTGATATTTGTGTGCGTCCACTTGAGTAGAACATTGAACGCATTGTGCGCGTTAATAATGATTTGTATTATTTTTTTTATTTTCATTTGTGATCAAATGCCTCAAAGTCAATTTCAATGCGTTTGAAATTTTATCTGCGAATTCAATAAATTTTATATTGATGCATACGATCGATTGAATGAAATCTCTTTGATGATGATGAACAAATGTGCGCTAAACATCTTTCATATAATGTAATGTGCGGTTCGGAGTGTGCGTCAATTGCGTTTAATTGTTTGGCTGTCCAAATTGATCGATCTACCAGCTGCGTCGAATATACAATCGATCACACTCTCACTCCAGCCACCGATTTTAATATGCAAACACATAGCCACCGGCAATAGCAGTGAGTGAGCCAGAGATCGAACAAATGAGTGCAAAATTTAATTTAATTTCAATGGTTTCGATTCAATGTTATGCGAAAAATAAACTCCGAATGAAAAAAAAAATGATTGCGTATTTAGTGCACAACGGATGTTATTTTTGTTTATGTAAAATGGGCGGTATAATAGACTTCGAGAGACTCTCGATTCTAAATTGAATTGAATACATAACACAGCCGTCGATTCAGATGGCCCATTGTGTGCACGTCAATATATTGAATGTTTAATGAAGTGGAACAAGTAGTTCGCATCAAATACGGAGAAGAAAAAAAATTCATGTCGAAAATTGCTTAACGTCGAATTTTTGTTTCCTTCTTCAGTATTGTCCGAACCGCGAACAAAAAAAAACACACTCAGAAAATTTGCAATACAAACGATGCGATTGAAAAAGAACAGAAATGAGGTCTATTTAGCCCGCACTGACACAGTTTTTCCATAATCGACAAGCACACATCGATTTTGACGATGCAATCGATAGAGAAAGCAAATCCAAGCCGATGAGAACGAGCGATTTAAATGAAAAAAAAAAAAAAAAATGCGGTTGAATTGTTGTAGAAAAATAACATTTCGCATTTATGATGTGCGCTGTCCCTTTTGATATGGAGCGCTTTCGATCTTCTTGCTCTTCACCTGGACACAAAACTCGTCACGTTCTAATTCACATCACGATAGAGAGAGAGCATAGAATCGCATACACAGTAGCAAACCGAGATGCTCATAACTTAAAAAAAATGTACATTGTCAACGAATATGTGCGCGCTAAAGTCATGTCTTACTTTCTCGAAATCGTTTCATGTGCAATCAACTTATATTGACATTGATTTTAATCGCGCGCACATTTGCTGTCAACTTTTGAATCGTATTTTTTTTAAATATATATTCTTCTATCGATTGAAAGAAACGCTTTAATGTGTGAATGAGAAGAAAGATTGATTTTCACATGCAGGAAAAAAAGATGAAAAATAATGGTGGCTTACACACACCATATTAAGGCTAATGCCAATCCAAATGGCCAAAGAAAACAGAGACATTAAACTCCACACGATGATTGGTGTATGCGAGCGCGAATCGGAATTGGGCTAATTATTGTCTCACGAGAATTGTGCAGCAGCCGCATTGGATGATATCGTAAATCAGACGAGACCCTGAACTGACTTGGACTGCATGAAACTCTTTTTTTCTACTTTGATTCCATTTTGATTGAATAGGCTTATTTTGTCTGTTTTGGAATCATTTTGATCAATTTAGAGACAAAGCGGATTTATTAAATGTGAACGACCACTCAAACACATTGTTAACAATAATCGAATGTTTTGAGTTGATAATTTTTCTCAAATTTTCTATTCAAATTTAAAATGACCAATTAGCTTAAAAAAGCATTGATTTTATTCGATTCGAAAGAGAGAGAAAAAACCGATCAAAACATCGTGTTTTCCAGTGGTTGACCGATTAAATAACAACAAAATACACGCGCAAGTATGTATCCGGACGGAAATATTCATATAACATTTTGGACATTTCCATAAAGTTTCAGTAGATTTTTTTGACTTCTTTTCTCTTTTGTTATCACTCGATTCACTCTCTTTCTGTACCATTGTGTCTTTCCATTCAGCTCTTTCGACCTTTCGGTTATTTTACTCTTTCTGACTCACTCATGTGTTCTCCCCCTTCTTTCACTCTCTTTCCAACTTAAGCTATCGCCTCTATTCTATCCCGCTCTCTCAACGTCTCTCATTTCGTATATATATCCGGTCGCTTAATGAATGCGTCCAAACACAATCACAGTTATTATTAAAAACTGAACAATACAAAATGACATATATTAAAATATCGAGAAAAATTCATGGTATCAACGGGTGATGAGGTCGTTTGCATTTTGTTGACACGGCAATTGTACCGGTGTGGTATCTATTTGATCTGTTGTTTTGCTAATGAAGAAATTAATGCAAATGAATTTCTAACCGAAAAAAACTGTCCACAGTCATCATTCATGTCATCATGTCATATGAAATATGTTTTACATAAAAGATCCACCGAATCTGTATGGTTGAATTCGCACAAAAAAACTGTGTTTGGTGACCGGTTTGTATACCAATAAATATAGGTAAACATTAATTAAATTGACGATCCGAGTCTGATGGGCGAAAGCCACAAAGCAAAACATGTATTTTTAACCGTCTTCGTCGCCAAAGTGTTATGTAAATGTGGTTTTGGAGAGAAAGACAGAGATTACACTCGAGAACTAGCAGTGAGCTGAAAAAACGTTTGGTTTTTTTTTTGGGAATTTTGCGTGGAGAGCGTGTGAGCATCGAATTTAAAACAAAAGATTTTGTCATTTTTATGTACGAATTTAGAATTAGTCAGATTTGGTGAATTTTTATATGGAAACCACAACTGGATTTGTCATTAAAAATCCATTTTTTTCTCTCTCACACTCCCCACTTCAGGTGAAATTGATTAGCAATGGAAATGTCTATAATTTACCGATTGATTCTAGTCTAAATAGCTGAGAATTGGTCATCATTTTCTCTTTGCACTGAAGCATATTTACGATAAGCATAAAGCGTAACCGACGGAAAGAAAAAAATCTCATCCATTTCGATTTCTATTTTTTTATTCGGTTGTTCTGTCGCTGTTGCGGCTGCCGTTTTTTGTTTTGTGTAAATTCATTCAAATTCAAGTTCCAATTCGCTTTTAATCACAATTCCAAACAAGCCGCTGTTGTCGTTTGCTCTTTTTATTTCAAACTGTGTCAATGACGAACGACGCATTTTTTTAACGGAATTTGTTGTCAATGTTTGTGTACGCGTATTTCTCTCTCTCTCTCTCTTGATCTATCATAGTGAACCCAAACAAAAATCTTTCCCATTGAATTTTGATGCGATGTTCTTTTGTTTCACCAAATTGAACGCCGAGTGAGAGGCATTCTCAATGGAATTTTTTTGTTCAATCGTAATTTGATGCGAACAGCAATCGGATTTGATTGAAATGTGCACTAATTTCGAAAGAACAAACGGATTTTAATGAAAGTTTCGGGCGGTTGTTGGTTTTTTTCTTTGAAAGGGAATTGAATGGCGTAAATTTCGGGATTAAAATCAAACAGATTTATTAGACAGGTTGACGTTGATCGACAATAACAATGGGTATCGAAATGTTTGGCACCATCATTTTTATTAAACCATTCTAGCGGAATGTAGTAGATACCTATAAATAATCGCAAAAAAATTAACAGATTTCATCCATGGAACATGTGGAAACAATTTTTTTCGGTAAAAAATTTCGAAATGTACTTTCAAAATCATCGAAATTTCTTCAAATCAGAGAAAAAATTCCACAATAGTATTGTCGATGTTGAAAATGTTCCGTGAATCATTTGAATGTATATATGTCAGTGTTCAGTGACAAAATATCGATCGATTCGTTTGATCAACAGAAAAAAATGGCTGTCATGTAATTGTGTTTAACAAAACAGATATTCGTCGCCGAAAATACACCTGTCGATTTGCATAAAGCAATATTGGCAAAGAGTCGACGATAACGGCGACGACAGTAACAACAACAATCGTCAATACGGTGGCTGGTTGACATTCGTTAACGCATGAATTGCTAATCAAATATTTTAACACGATAAATGATAGCGCACAGCTTAATAAGAGCCAAATTGTGAGTCATTGATACGAATTTGAAGTGGCGCAGAGACAAAAAAAATTGAGTTGAAGGCAGAATAGGTAGTAACGACACACATAGCAAAACATCAATGGAATGTTATTAATTTTTTCAGCCGACATTTTTTTATTTGCAAAACTTTCTGCACATTGAAATGGGCTCAAGTGATCATCTTCAACTTTTCGTAATTTTTCTTGAAAAAGGTTGTTGTTTATGTCAATGTCCTCGTCTTTGAATCGACGATTTTTTAGAAAATTTTCGAAAAATAGAAAACATACCAATATGCAAAAAACTTGAAAGGTTTGTCACCTTTGGTGAAACTTGTAAAAACGCGAAAAAAATCATTAAAATTACAGTCTGCAGCCTCATCCAGAAAAAAAAACAGTGTGTACTTACTTTTAGCGGCTGCAAGTAAATCTTTCACTTCTTTGATAATCCGTTTGATTTGTGTGCTGGTCTTTTCCAGTTCCTTTTCATGTTTGTTGAGATTTTCGCGAAAATCCGGACTGTCCAGCAGACAATCGGTGAATTCAAGCGCTTGCAAACCGGCCGTCACCATTTTGGACACTGATTCTCGCATTCGCAAAATTTATGTGGAAAACAATTCAATTTCAAAGAACACGATGCAAATTGGCAATTGAAGCACTCATAAAAGATCGATTGATCGGTTTTGAATTTGTAAAAGTTGCGTTATCGCCACAAAATGCACATTTCCAAATGCGTTTTCACGATTTTGCTCGTGAAACCGATAAAAAAGACCGAAATGTGATAACACAAACAAAACAAACAATTTAAACACGAAAAAAACAAAAAAAAACTCTATAACAAAACAATAAAGTGACCGATTAAGATTAAGACTGATTGAAGACTGTACGTTCTTTACCACATTTCAAAATGAAAACAAAAGAGCTTTCGTACTTTTTTCGCACTTTTTTTTTTAAATGGAATTCTTTTGCAATCGTTTTGTTGTTATTTCACACATAAACACCGATCGATCGATCGGTAACGGATATCGTTGTCGACGTGTTTGTTTGTTACACTCGCTCACGGTGATATCACGTTTGACGATGGTGATTCAATTCAATGGTTTCTCTTTCACTTTGCGCTTGTTTCACACACATTCAGCACACACAAAAAGTCGATATCGGTGATATGGTTACCGTTGCTGGCGTTTTTTTTAGTCGATCGCGTGATGACGAGATGCTGCTGCGAAATTGCTATAAAAAAATAACGAATCGAAAAAAGAAAGAACATGCACGAAACAAAAAAAGAAAGAGAAAGAAAAATATTCAATTCATTTAATCGATTTATATTCGAATCGGTAAAGAGATAGAAAGAGACAGAAAAAATGGCATATCTCGAAGAGTTGGCCAGGTGAACTAGACACATACACACATTCAACCACCGATAAACAAAAACGACGATCGTAAAAAAAATCATTTATGAAGTAAATCTTCTGGACACTATACGATTTGCAGTCAGTGTGGCGTTTTATCGGTGCAATATCACTTCATCGCGGTGACTAAGAGCCAATCTCTTACTCATACTCCCGTCTTTTTTCGCCAGCCAGATCGATTTGGATGCTGTGATTTGCTGTCTTGAATCAACAACTCTGTTTTGCGATTGCGTGAATGAAACACGCGAATTTATTATTTATTCGTTGCGAGATCGTGCTAGTCGGTTGTGTGTTGTTTTTTTCATCTGTTTTCTCTCTTTGAATGCAGACAAATTGCGGCAAATCAAAAACATAAGCGCGATTGCACAAAATCAGGCAAAAATTGACGGTGAGAGAGAGAAAGAGGGAGAACGACCGAAATATATGTTTCCATTTTTAGTTAATTGCAATACACGTTGGTTTTTCTTTAGCATTGTCTCCTTTTTTTCCAGAATCATTCAATCTTTTTCTTACACACATTCCTAATCTCAATCGCTCTCTCACTCACGTTCTTTCTCCCAATCTGCGCAACTCTCCCGTTCTCTCAAATCACATCACCCTAAAACCAGAAATGCGCACGATACACACAAAATCAAAACATGGTTGTTGTTATTTTGTTTTTCCTTCTTCTTTTTTTCTCTTCATCGACTCTCTTTTGGTACAGAGTAAAGACGACGGATAAAGGAATGAGAAGAGACAAAAAAATGTATTTTTTTACCCGTGTATGTATCTCTCTCATTCGTATCGAGTACACACGCATTGCAAGAGGCTTAGCGCGTTGCAGACACGCACTTTTTCTCTTCAATTTTTATGAATCATCACGAAGTCGCACGGGAAGAATGTATGAGAACAAGAAAAACCAATAGATAAAATACAACAAGAAAAAATCTCAGATTCGTTGAAATCGATATATATATATATATGTGTGTGAGAGCGAAAGAGAGTCCAAGGAGACGATCGCTCGAACGAAGAAGAAGAAAAAACAACAATCGTGTGCTAGTTCTTGTGTGCTAATTTTTCGATTCACTGCAAAAAAAAATTTAATTCAATTTCAATCGACCTGGCAAAAAGACACGAAGAGAGATTTAAATTCTCTTTCGATCTCTCAAACTTTCAATTCCGACATTTTCAATTTGTTGCAAACTATTTTTCATGATAAAATTATAAACCATAAATTCGTCGGGCAAATCACGATCCCGGTTTTGTTGAGTGTCTAGTTAAAGTGCCCAGCCAAATCACGAACAATTTCAATGCCAAAAAATTACACACTGATAACACACTGTGGTGTCACAATAAAACGACCTTTTATACTTACAAATGATTGTTCACAATATGCATGTATAGTTTGTCGTTTGTCGCACTTTGACAACAAAAATTATTGTTCAGTTCAAATTACACTTTGAACACAATGTCGTGTCAAAACTGCCAACGAATGCAAAATTCTTTGAGACTGCAAACTGCACAATGTTCGTTCATTATCAGTATAAACAGGCCACAAAAATCTAGACAAAAATTGTTTTCACACTACACACACACACACAAAAAAAACGGCAACTTTGACAAATTCGTTCACTGACTGTGAATTCAAAACTATGAACTTTTCACTTATATACTTTGTTTTGGTTTGGAATACGATTGCATTGCGTAATTGCGTGTCAACAAAAAACTATTTTTTTCGTCTTCTGTAAATAACGAAAAGGTTGTGCCGTATTAAATACAAATTAAGAACTTTGGATGCTTAATTATTCACGGAAGATTAACGGTGTGTCAGTGAATTTTTGTTGTTGCTGTTATTCGGCGTAGACAAAATCAATAAAAAAAATCGGCGCAAATGATTTACAAATGCCAAATAGTATGGATGAACACTTTGGACACTCTCTTTCACTGAGCGTGGATTGTATGCCTGAAAACTGAAATCAGTTTCACATTCAATTGGCACCAAATTTCACTTTAAGCTGATCGAATTGGTTGTCAATCGATTGGTGTCTGTCGCCGGGTTTCGATCACAATACACTACATACACTTGCATACATTGAACACACGAAAAAAATATATAAGAGAATTGTTTATTGTCTCTGTTGCGTTCCACTTGTGCCGATCGCCAAAGAAATCTCATTGACCATCATTTGCCACAACAATGTAACAAATTGTCTAAGTGTCACGCCGATAAAAGTGACAAAATGTTAATCCAAGATACACAAAATACACAATTTTTTGTTCTTCACAAATCCAAGATAGATGGATTTGTTGACTTTTTGACAAAAACTCCGTACTTCGAGTTTTCTGATGTTGTTTCATTTATTTTTGTTATTTGTTGTGTTCGCTGTTGTCGTTTGTTCAACACGCAACCGTTCTGAATTGACTGTCGATGAATAACTGCCAGCTATACGGCCGACGAAGCGCACGTATACTCAAGTTTTTTGATACTCTATACACACAGCCGATTTCAACACACATTTTCAATCGGGCAGCATACAAGACATGAGCGCACAAAAGACAGAACGAACTCAACACATGCACAAACATTGATTTCAACATAACGTAGCCGTTGCAAACCCATTTCAACATGCTTCTTCTTGTGTTGTTTTTTTTCTTGTTTCATTACATCTTGTGTCTCTTGTTTCACATACATTTTTGTTCAACGCACACATGCACCAGACATATATACCGTTTGTGACTCGGCAATGTGATAATAGTGCGATGGAATTTGAAGTACTCAACATACGAAAACAGAATTGCAGAACATAGAAAATATATTTAGATTGTAGTTGTGTATGCATGACTCGGCGTGTAAAAGAGATGCAACGAAACAAATTTCTGGAACATAACACTCACTCGTCGAAACGAACATTGTGCAAAAGAGACAAGCACTACTGTTTTTTTTACTCTGTTGTCTGTGATTCTCGCAGACTACCTGTTGATTTGTGTGTATTCGTCTCCGATCACGTGAGGCGGTATCTGATGAAGGGCTTTTAAGAACATTTTACAGTCTTTTTGAAACTCGATCACAGATGGCAGTGGACGAACGGGAATTGAGATGATATTTACTTCGACGACACATTTTCTATCTTTTAGTTTCTTCCATTTTTTAGCGTCTCCATTTTTGAATAATTGATGAATAATTTTTATTTTATTTTATTATATATTTTTAGGGAAAAATCGAAATGAACGAAAAACGATACATTTTCAAATAAACATCGAATTTCGAAGAGCATCGGAATGTCAAGTGACAGTATGTTAATACAATTGAACTTTGGTCATTTTTATTTTGAATCGGTCGCTGATTTGATTTTTTCCAACATTATTTTTGGTTTTCAAATTTTTTGTAAAAATCACAGAAAATGATAAATTCAATTTACAAAAATAGAATTTGTTGAACAGTTCACTACATCAAAACCGAATGAGAATAAATGTTTCAATTTTTTCATTGCAATTCCCGCCAAAAATCAAGAGGAAAGCTAAAAACAAAAATTCCATACTAAATTATTTGCTATCAGTATCGTCTTTTTTATCATCGTCATTTCTTATAAAAAAATATTTCTTTGGCTCAACACAATAAATGTTGTCTGTTCATTTGTGTGAGTGTGTGTTTGTGTCACACTTTAGTTGAATTACCTAACATCGAAAAATATCGCAAAGAACCTTTTTAATTGTCAGAACTGTCATTTGGTGTCTCTGCATGCAACGTGAATTCCGACTACAACAAAGATGAACAGCAATTGTCTCTGAGACGCCATACCGGTTGCATTGTGTTACTACTGTTTGTTAAGTGAAACGTTAGAAGAAAAAAAAATTGTTAGCATTTAATTTGGAAAAACGTCTGAAAATCATCAAAATTCAACTGAGTAAGTACATTTTTGGTCGTATATCGAAAAGAAATTTGGAATAAACTATTAAGAAATATACAGAAGAAAAAAAATTGGTAGTGCAAAAAATGCTTTATGTTTGGCGTTTGTTGTTGTTGTTGGTGGTGATATTTCGAGCGCGTTTTTGCAAAAAGGGGGTATTTCGTGATTTCATGGCATTTCTTCAAACACAAGAAAGAACACAGAAGCGTGAAGCATGCTGTCAACACACAGTTCCGTGTTGAGTATAAACGCGCGCGCATAAAATGCCAGTGTATTGGTGTGCGTGCCACATATATGTATATGTAATTTTGTGTGAGAGTGTACGTTCAAAATGGATTTGTGTGTGCGCTTGTAATGGCTGCAACACTATATAAAATACAGCATTCTTTGGCATTGTGTCGTTTGGTGTGTAGCAAAAATTATCGTCAAAGAATTATCGTTCGCAATAACAACAAAACATCATACAATACATATTTTTTTAACAATTGACAAGATAGATCGTAGTAAACGTGTTATTGGTTTCGATATAAAGTCATCCGACAACGGTAAAAATATTATTGCATTTTTTTTTTACAATGATTTGAAACAAAGATGTGTGTGTATGTGTATATAAGTGACTTTTTTTTTTTGCGTGACCGTTTGAATTCAGTTTTTTTTCACCCTTTTTCATGCTTTTTTTCTCTTTTTATCCACAGTATTAACACCATCGTAGTGTTTTCAAAGTTGACCATTATTTAGATTATACAAGTTAGTTCCGACGAGAAAGAAATAAAGACGATATAAGATGTCGAAAAATAGTGAAGCCACCGAAGAAGAATACTCGGTCGAAAAAGTGTTGAACCGACGCGTTCGCAACGGCAAAGTAAGTTTTTTTTATTATGATTTTTTTTTTAACTATCTTTTCTGATTCGTTAGCACATTTTTTGTTTATTTTTTTTTTTCTCGCGACTATCAAAAATTACATATTCACAGCTGACACATTGTACAGCATCACTATATACATTTAGCTGTCAATTAAAAAAAAAGTCAGATAAAAGTGCGGCGACAGCGAAATTCCATATACATATACAAAAAAAAATCGCCGCAATTATTGTTATTTTTAGATTGTTTGCTTGAGATCATTTGACCAAAATTTATTACAATGTTTTTTCTCCGTCTTTCTCGTCGAATTTAATGTTTATTGTTGACTTCATTGCTAATGGACACAGACACACTTTATTAGACGCAATTTGATTATATACTCATCAAATTATAGCATACATTTCTTGGATCTTATTCACAAATAATAGTGTCAACGGTTAAATTTCTTTAAAAAAATACGACATAAAACAGTTTGTTTGTGTCTGTTATAGAGAACGAAATCGATTGTTTCAGGACTGACGTTAGTTGTTGTTGTTGTTTTCAGGTTGAATACTTCTTGAAGTGGAAAGGTTACAGTTCGGACGACAATACATGGGAACCAGAAGAAAACTTGGATTGTCCAGATTTGATTCAAGCGTACGAAGATGCACGTTTGAAAAAGGAGGGCGAGAAGCGTAACGGTATGTAAAATGTTATTTTTTGTTTATTCATCAAATTCTCGTTTAATAATAAAATGTTAAACATAAACATGGATCATATTTATTGGTCATACATCGATTTCTCATTGTTTTTATTGAAAATCACGTGCATAAAATTCTGAATTTGTGTATTGAAAACGATCTGGAAATGCGTCACTAGTGCGGCTCAAAAAAAAGTATTTAATTTTTAACATTCCAGGCCGGTTTTAGCATATTTGAGGCCTAAAAATACGATATGGACCTTTGGCTTGTTCAAGTAGGAAACCATGGCGCTACAAATTCATTGAGAAGATACCTCGATGGACCCATTTTGGTGTATTTTGAACGATTTCTTTTTCCTAAAAAAAATTATGAAAAAAATACGTAGGGTTTTTTTGGTGTGAGAAAACTGAAAATAGAAATTGTTCAAAATACACCAAAATGGGTCCGTCGAGGTATCTTCCCAATGAATTTGTAGCGCCATGGTTTTCTACTTGAACTAACCAATGGTCCATATCGTGTTTTTAGGCCTCAAATATGCTAAAACCGGCCTGGAATGTTAAAAATTAAATACTTTTTTTTGGGCCACCCTAATGCATCACTCTACACAATATGAATGATCATACCAATCCCTTTTGTGACTAAAACTGTTCGACCAAAACAATTGAAATTTTCGTGCAAATTACCAAAAAAAAAAAAACAAATCCAAACATAATTTTATCAAAAAGTCGTGTTCACAATAGAGAGAACGCATATATTCAATTGAATTTGATTAATTATTTTATTTTTTCGAACATAGGTAAAGACGATAGGAAGCGAAAAGGCACAAGTCCGGTACCAACAGATAAATCGCAATCAGCGAAAAAGAAAGTTCCAGAGGAAAAGAAAATGGCTGGTTTTGATCGTGGTTTAGAACCCGAAAAAATTCTAGGTAAGAAGAAGAATTTTACTATTTGATTGCATTTCGAAAGAAGCGGGAAGCTTGTCATTGAAATGGTGAATTTGCTTCATGAGCATGGCCACCGTTAATTATTTGTGACTTGTGTGTGTTTAACGGTGAAAAGATTGTGGTTACACATATAGCAGTGCTATTTTCGCAGCTGACGACAACGAATTTTTGATACAATTCCGATCGAAATGTAGAACAACGATTTATTAATTTTAACAATAGTCTATTGTTCTATATTCCGAAGATTTCGTTTGGAATTGTATCAAAAATTCACAAAGAGCGCCTATGAATACGAGCTGCGAAAAAAGAAGTGCTATAGCTGTTCTTTTTGAAAGTGAATAATTGAAAAAACATTTTTTATTAAAAAATTAAATTTTCCAAGATATATGCACTTTTCAATGTTTGCCTTTTCGTTATTCATTTCGTCTTTTTTCCATTGAGTTATGTTGTTAATTTTTGTTTACTGTCCCACAGGTGCAACTGACAGCAGTGGTCAATTGATGTTCTTGATGAAATGGAAGGACACTGACGAAGCGGATTTGGTACCATCATCCCAAGCAAATGTCAAATGCCCGCAAATTGTGATCAAGTTCTATGAAGAACGATTGACTTGGCACCAAAGTTCAGCGGAAGCAAATGATGCAAATTAAAATAGGCACACCATCATTGTCGCCTAATCATTATCATCGTCGTTTCACCCACTTTGATTAAGCTTAAAAAAATACAAATAAAACAAGAATAGTCGCAACAAAAACCCGAACTATAACGACAATGTTCAAGTAATACCCAATAACACATTGCAACTGTGTTAAGACAAACAAAAATCAAATTCAACAAATTCAGTTTGTTTTTTTTTAAGTCCAATCTATCAATATAAAAACCACATGAACTATATAGATATTGAAAAAAACAAAATCATAAAAACAAATTTCAAAATGAAAGGAAATGAAAAAAAAAATAACGAGAAAACAGAATACATTGTTCTTGACAATTTATCACTCTAAAATTTTGTTGCAACAAAATGAACATGCTAATGAATGAAGCACTTCCGAATCAAATCGAAAGAACATTTTCAACTAATACCGTTTTTTATACAGTTAAATAATTACACTTTGTTCCATTTTTAATTTCTTGGCAAATGTTCTTTTCATAGCCTTTTGGTTGGCACTTTTAACATGTAGACTAAATTTAAGATGAAGAATAAAAACGAATATTAAGAATAAAGCGAATGGTATTATTGTATCTCAACATGGCATAATGATGCTGAATCTCATGAAAAACATATACATAAAGACGGTGACGGAATATTTGATGGTCAACCACCATCATACAAAGCTTCTGATCTGAACGAATTGATTTTTTTTTTTAAACTTAATATTAAGACAAGCAATAAATACACACGCATCGTTCATTTTTCGACTTTTATTTTAAAATGATAATAGCAAATTTTGGTTTCGCTACAAATTGATTGATCACAAATTGATGCCAAGGCGATTTCCTTTTTCTTTAATACTATTTTCTAAACTTAATAAATAACGCAATATGATCAATTGATCTTTGGCTTCCGTCAATTTATTTGAGGTAAGCAGTATTTCTAGCTGATCGATACAAATTTGACAATCTTTATGCACGGCCGTCAAGAGCTTGATGAGATCCATCTCCGTCTCGGCTTCATCGACCTACAGAAAAGAGCAAATGCATTTTGGAATGAAGAGATGACCTTTGTTTTTTTTTTTATTTATAAAAAAATTGCTGTGTTTGGATAAAATTGCAAGTTTTTGATATTCTTCTGTTCATCAGACACAGATTACAGTAAGTTAAGATAAGAAAAATGGAAAAAATGCAAATATTGCTTGCCTCTTCATTGCGTGCCATCATTTCCATAAGAAATTTGGTATTGGTGGCTGTGTTGTCTTCGGATATTTGGACATTGTGCGCTTTCAACATGTATTCGGCCCGTTGAATCGGTGACAATAATATTTTGTAGGCTTTATTCACCAGTGAACTCCATTCGGCTGACAAATGTTTCTCTTTCTCGGAACTGTAATGAAAGAAACGGGGTGCATGAAAATGCTTTGATCCAAACAATTCGCTGTCACCGACCGTACCTATTGCTAAATTTGTCCGGATGCAATACACTTTGAAGCTGTCGAAATTGATTTGTCAACGCTTTGACATCAATGTCAAATCTCTTATCTACCCGCAGCAATTGAAAGTGATCCTAAAATGATAAACAATTTTGAATCAGAATGAAAATGGTAAAAACGATTGACCAGCTGCATACCACATCACCGGGTAGTTCAAGTAAACTCTGGCATTTGGTACATTTGAACTGGATGCCAACGGCTGCATTTTCATTACCACATCGCCAACACTTGAGCAATCCGGACGCATAGCTGGCAATCGTTCGGAACGCCATTGATTTTCTCAATGGATTTGACCGTTGATCCGCATTCGCGCCAAAAAAACCTATTCTGAACACAGACAAATGTTTGAGGTTATGTAACATCGTATAAAACTTGCTTCAAACTTTAATTCACGAGTTGAATTCGTTTTGTTCAACGATTCGAAAACGATAACCAGAATCAATTCTATCACTACAAGTTTTTTGTCACAAATCTAAAGCAATGAATGTTGATCAAAAATAATTATCGTGTTTGGTCGTCAATTTTTTAGTCAAAGTTCATTTATTTTGATGATAAATGACAGATGTTTTATTTACGTTTTGCTGTGTGGTGAATTTGATGACAGTCTATTTTAGCGCAAGAAATTTAAATGAGAATGCCCAAAATTATCGTTGAAAAACATTTTGGGACATTTTTTATTTGAGAAATAATTAAGTGAAACAACAATGATTTTGATGAGAAAAAAATTAATTTATTGAATTTAATATTGAAGTGCAAGGCACACTTTCTGTTACAGATTTTTATTTTTGACAAAAATTAATGAAAAATTAATGCGTTTACAATTTTGTATACAAGGAAAATAAAATGTAGGTAATTGGCTTTTATTTGCTAGTCTATTGAGCATCTGAAAACAGTAAAAAGGGTAGAAAGTATTTTCAAGGCCATTTATTTCTCTTTTTTGTCGCGAGTTGGTCCCGTCATCTTCTATATTATTAACATTGATGTTGATGATAACTGATTAAAATGAATGTTGTTACTTCTGAATCATTTTCTTAGATTTTCCCATGCGAAAAACATTTGATTTGAATCCCTTAAATTCACGCCACAACAATGATTTTCTTACCATTCTCAGTGTCCTGTATTTCAAACCTAGAACGAATAAAAAGAACCATCATTGTTTTCAATCAATAAAATAAAAAAAAAAATCATCTCCAATTTACCTGAGCTGGAAAAGCTGGAATTGGCATCCTTTCGCCGTTTGCCGCCGAAAAATACTTCAGCCGGAATTTCAAAAAAAATCTTCGAAATAAAATCGCTGTATCCGCATTTTTCAAGTTCATTACGGCATCTGATTTCAATGTCATCGTCCAATTCAATCGAATCCTTATCTGCCTTATGTATAAAACACGATCCACAACAATGCTTAATATTCATTTGAATAACATAATTTTCATGTGGATCGATTGTAACCGGTTCCGGCAATGTGATATAAAATTCATCCACGCCGTGCGGAACATCAAATTGAACTTTTTTCGATTGTAAAAATCCTTCGATTTTTTTAAACAAAATATACTCCCCTTTGATTCCTTTGCAACCGTTTGATCTCTTTAGTTTCAATGAAAAATCGGTTAAAATAATTTTTTCGCTCGACATAAATTGTGACATACTTTTCAATCCGAATTTACTAATATTTTCGAATCGAATTAAATCATTTGACGATGGTTGTCGATTAAAAATCGCTGTACGTTGATGTTTGCATTCAACAATCTGTGATTTATTCATGGCAACATCTTGAATAATGTTTTCAAGTTCTTTGACGTGAAAAAACCCATTATATTTGGCAATGTACTGCGAAAAATGTTCAACGGACAATTTATCAAACGGAATTTGATCGAACAGACCATCGAATTGAAGGCGTAGATTTTTTGATGTCATTTCCATACAATTTCGTTGGCATTCCGCTTTGGCCCATTCCATGCAACCATCGACTATTTCTTCGGCACAACATTCGTCCAACATTAACGGCAATATTTTTGCCAAAAATTCACGATTACATTCGATGAATGTATTTGATTTTAAAACAACACCAGCATTCCGTTTGATTTGCTCTTCGCAAAATTTCATTAGATTTTTTTGCTCGAGAAATATTCCGACACCGTACCCCCAGCACAGATAGTCGATTGTCATCACGTTGGTTAGTATCATTTCACACACATTTGATCCATCGGTCATATCGAATTTGGTGCATAGAATCATTACACCAATTAGATATTTTGGTGTGAGTCGAACTTGGGAAAGGTAGAAAAATTGTAGAAAATCCTTGAACTCCTCGGCCGATGCATCGACAATATGAATGTCACCACTTTCTGGCCAAGGACCATAAAACATGGTCGAAAAGGCGACGCTTCCTAATGACAGGATATTTTTATGGGCTGGCACCTTTTCGGACTGTTCGGTGTCGACGCCAAAAATAAAGAAAACATCCGCTGATTTCGCATCCAAATATAATCTCTCGAATTTTTGATGCACACCCACATTTACATGTTCCAACATAATTTCGGTCATTTTTAAAGATTTTTTTTTTTTTAAGTAACACTTTATAATTTTTATGATGATGAAATTTTTTATTTTAATTTAGGATGTTTTTGTTTTCTTTTAAAATACTACATACGAATTAATGTGAATAATTGAATTTTGAGTGGAATATTTATTTATAATGAAAACTGAATTTTGAATAGACGATTTGAATATTTTTGGATTCAATGGTAAACACTGCTTCTTCAGACGACTGAAATATAACTGAGTGATAATTTGGTGTCTACCGTATGTTCATATTTTACTAGTTAACACATTTAAAAATGAAGTTTGACAGTTCCTTAATGAGATAACAATATGGATGCTTGTCGATTTACAGATAAAAAACGGTAGAATTAATTTTTTGGGCTTCCATTTGTTATTTGAAATTCAATTTTCAAATTTTGAACTGACAAATGGTTTTAACTCCATAACCGCCAAAAAAACTTTGCACCATTTATATTTCACTTGGCTTGTGTTTCTTTTTTTTTCTTCTTAAGTCCATATACAAAATTTGTATAATAACTGCCAAAATGAAGTATGAGAATTGTTGTCGCACATAAAATGATCATTTTTTATTTTTTCATGTAAAAAAATAAAATTGTGAATAAAAAAGCATTCAAAGTTGATTTCGACCAGACAGTACTCACATAATTTGAGTAGCTACTCAATGTGGCACATAAAAAAGTGAATATGTTTTATGAACTTTTCTGCCTTCTAACTATAAGAAAATGATTGAATAAAATAAAAGTCTTATATTTTCTTGCATATTTTTTTTTATTGAAATTAACATTTTATTTTGCTTATAACATAAATCATCCATATGTTAAAAAAATTGTGGTATAACGTTTAATAAGTGTCAGGAATCATTGAATTATACCTAAAATGTGTGTTTTTTCTCTTTAAATTGCAAATTTTGCAATTATTTCAATAAAAATGCTCTAAATAACATTTATAACAAAAACTGGGAAACCAAAGTTAGCACACAATATAGATTCTTGATAAGTTCTTTTTGGAATGAAAGATTAACCACAAGTATTATTATGAAAATGAAAAAAAATAAGGCATTTCATTATTAATATTTGCAGTTAAATTAAAAAAAAGAGTACTTGAACTGTTTTTTTCTGAAAACTTAATGGTAATTGTTATTTTTTTTTAAATGAAGTTATTTAAAGTTCGCCAAGATAATGATTCCGAAAGCTTCTCCGCCTATATTTAATTAGTGAAATATTTTGAAAAGAATAATATTGCTCGCCTTTGCTTTTGGATTGAGCTTGTGCCAAGGTGATTTGTTTTCCTTGTCAACCGCGAGTTATTGCTAAACTTTGAATGATCCTTTCCAATTCTCCCACTTTGAAAAAGCCTTCATATTCCGAAATATATTGGGAAAATTGTTTCAACGTGAGTTGATGAAATGGCATTTTATCGACTACTCCAACCAATTGCTCTCGTAAATTAATCGAATTTTCTTCCACTTCGTTTTGTGCACATCCATTCTTGGCCCATTCCATACATGCCTCAACTATTTCTGAAGCACACCACACACTTGATACCAAGATCAATATTTTTTCCAATAATTCACGTTGACAATCCAGAAAACTATTGGATGTTAACACAAGTTTGGCATTATTTAGGATGATTTGCTCGCAATAACCGAGCAAATGTTTTCTTTCATAAAACTGGGCTATTCCATACATCCAACATATTTCATCGAGTTGCACGGATTTCATAATCAACTTTTCACATACTTTTAATGAATCGTCCATCTCATACATCTTGCAAAGTTTCATAATATCCGGGATGTGTGTCCATGTTAATTGAACGGTAATTTTGTAAAAGAATTGTAAAAATTCCTCGAAAACTTTTGCCGATACCCCAACAATTGGGATTTCACGAGTTTTGTGCGAATATAATCCATTTTTATCCAAAAATATTTTTAGGAAAACTGGACTGTTGATGTATAAGATATTTTTATGAGCTGGAACTCTTTTGGGATCACTGTCGAAAGTAAAATAAACGTCGGCTGTCATCGAATTCAGATATAAATCTTCAATTTTGCGATGTACCAATGCATTTTCATGCTTTACACACAAAAAAATTTGCGGTAAAATTTAATGCAAATGCGGTTAAAATTTAGACATTTGGATACTTCTGTATTAGAATTTACTGCAATTTACCGCATTCATACGAAAATGACCGCACACGTATAAGACTCAAAATCAAACACTCAGTCTTATGCGTGTGCGGTCATTTTTGTATGAATGCGGTAAATTGCGGTGAATTCTAATACAGACAAATGATGAAATTTTACCGCATTACCTTTAAATTTAACCACACACTACTCAGTAACCGCTTTTACATTAAATTTTTCCGCAAATTTTTTTGTGTGTACAACTCGGTCTTCCATTTTCGTTGGCTTTCGTCGAAATTCTATAGTGATCAAAAAAGAAAACTTGAAATAAATATTTTTCCTGTTATTTTTTGTGTCTGCTCTCTGCTCCGGTCGAAAAACAAAACTAAACTGATTTTATTCTATATATTACTTCAATACATTGGCTTAATGAGATTTAGTTCTTCTTCATTATAATTAGCTACTAATTAGTAATATGTACGATGGAAATTGAGCTAAAGAGGCCGCAATTTACAAATGATTAAAATATGTTTTTTTCTCTCCAGGACATTGCGATACAAAATTACCTGCTACTACCGAGTTTATCATTGATGTGAAAAAAATGTGTCAATGATATTCATTATCTTCATCATGAATTTGAAATGCAAGTTTCGAAATAATATCATAATGTTTCCAATCACCTTGAGGGATATTTATAATATCAAAAGGAATACTAAGACATGAACAAGCGGGGTTGACGTATATGAGATTGGGAACTTTTTTATGCGAATGCAGCTGATCAGCGCCATCTCACATTAGTTCGAATTAGATCGAAAAACTAATTTTAATTCTTTAGCATTGAAATGAAAAAGAGAAAAAACAACAACAATAGCACGGCCACACAGAGCTGTACATCTATGCGTGCTGATGCATACATACACATATACGCTTTCTTCATTCTTTCATTCCATTGTTATACGTATCTCACTGGTCAACAGATCTATGTAGCCATGTTACTGTTGTTGTTTTTTTCTCTTTTTCGATTCAATTCATTGTAACTAAATTGAGTTCAACTATGGAATACAAGATGGCACAGATGAGGGGAATTCGCCAAGAAGAGTAGAAATTGTGTGAACTCTTAGTACTAAATTAATATTATTGGTATTTTCATTTACAGCAAAACTCAAAGAAATTGGTCTCGCTCTCACTTTCTGGTGATTTTATTACCCAATTATATGATTTCGTGCCATAGTCTCCTAGAAGTTCTCTCTACATAGCGCCGCGTTGGCAAAAAATCATTTAAAGACTACATATTAGTGAGAATTAAAGTCACATTCAGTCGATTATTCAAAAAAAAAAAAAAAGAGATGAGAAATGAATCGATTTTTTTTTTGAAACGGGAGATTTGCTGATTTTTTCAAAAGGAATCCTCCCTTAGGAGTGTCGAATAAAACCTTTGCATTCCGCAATAATCGTGAGAAAGGTGTTTGAAAATCAATAAAAATACCGTTTATTTAATCTTTAAAATTTAAAAATTATCGTTTATTTTGTGTTAATACAGTATTTTCACATTTTTTTTCTTTGGGAAATTATTGTCTTGTAATTTTCCATTTCACAAAAAACATGCGACGAACAATAACAATAATGAGCAAACATTTTAAATAATTCAAGACAAACAATATAATGTAGTTTTGATAGCCAAACATATGGATAATATTCCAGTTTATCCTCGTGATGTAATCTGATAAGATATCAATATATTCAAATACAACTTCATAAAATATGCAGAAGACGATCTGACAACATAGATGAACATTTAAAAATAAAGGCCTAATTCCTATATGATCATTGATCAATGATCAACTCGGATCAATTATTTATTGCAAATATATAAAAACTTGATATATTCTTTTAGATAAATGATGAAGGAAAGTTCAAAGTTCAAGGATTGAAGAAATAAATAAATGCATAATTTGTAACAAAACCATTGGTATTTTCAATTTTTATTTAGTCAATAATGTTTTTATAATCATACATTTTGTGTTGAATAGGGTTAAAAAAATACATTAAATTGTATTTATTAGAAATTGTCCTAATGTTGGTGAAATCGAATACAAGATTTAAATTAGCAGCAAAGATTTCCTGAATTATTAAAAATAAACATGAATGAAAAAAACGTATGAATTGCATCAAAAATTTACATTTTTATTTCCACTATTTGGGTTTAAGGAACGGTGAACGACTTACACAAATGTATTTGTAACTTTTTTCACTGTATTCTCATCAACAACTGAACAGTGACTGCCAAAAGTGACACGAAAGAATCAAGACAAAAGTTCATTAGTACAGACGTTCATTGGTATGATAAGTGCAGACTGTTGGAATTGAGAAATAATTAATATTAATAATTTGGGAAATACCTAACTACATTAAAAAACAGTCCTTATCACAATATTTCTGTTCTTAATATTGCATCTTTTGACCAGAAAATATTTCCGAAATGGATACATATATCATAAAAGTCAAGCCGATCGAGGCAAACGTTGCATCAAGTTCAGACAATGCGACCAGCGAATCTCACACACGATATATACGCCTTATATACATCTATTTCTAAGCAATTCACTTGTAATTTTCACACAAAAATACGTGCATACGTTCAAAATACAAATCACAATGCTGTCCACCTCTACCATACCACAACATGCTCCGCCCTTTTTTACCTACTCTAAGTGAATTTTGCTCAAACAAAGAGCTCACATGTGTGCAAACTACACACATGTCACATACCTCTATTGCGGTTAGTACGCGACAAAAAGAAGGTGAGCTACTGAGATAGAAAAAAGGTTGGCGTCAATTTTTCAAATAATTTAAGACAAACAAACCGACCATTCATTTCAAATATATCAATTCCGGTTTGTTCATAGACATTTCCATCCTCTTTAATTGGGAATCAGTGCGATAAAATGAGCGAAAACAGATGGAACAATGAAATCGACAACATTATTCGAAACAATATTGAGGCGATTGGCAATATTTTCAATGAACTCAAAAGTCAAGTTGATTGCATCCCATTCAATCAAAATGACCTCGTCGCAAAGATGACTACTTCCGAACAAATGTAAGTTACATGCATAAATTAAAGGCTTTTTCGACTTCGGCTATAATTTTCCTCAATTTGATCGCAATTAAAGGACAAAAGAGGTGTGCATGTCATTCATTGGACAAGTTCTCGTATGGATTCGAAAAGAGTCGAACAGCGCAATTCACAAGTCCAGCGATCTGTCAAAGAGAAGTCCAACCAGCCGTGATGACGTCCAAAATGGATCGATTTAATTGGAAATATGTAGTTGAATACGATGTTTTTATTCAAATTCCGAATAAAGTCACAGACATATTTTTCTAACAACAAAAAAACCTTTTTCTTTGTACAGTGTACACCTTTTCAAAAAAAAAAATTGATAATCAGATGGCATTACATTCATTTTTAAATATAAAAAATCAATTAATATCCAATTTCCATACGATACCTACGATCAAAGCGAATAAAAAGACTCACTTGGTGGTCAATTCGAATGTAAAGTTGACATTTCATATTTTTGACGCGCGACTATCGCCTTGTCAATGTAGTTGTACAGCATCACACACACGTACAGTAAAAAAAAAAGTCGTCACGTTTCATTGTATCAATAGCCGCTCATTACTTGGAATTTTTTTGATACGGTGCATTAAGTGGTTCGTAGTTTTGCATGAGATACATAGGAATAGTTTGACGAAATCGATAATTTGGTGCTTTATTCGTAAGACAATTGTAAGACACATTGAAACCAAAAGTGTTCTTGGATAAAATCGTCAATAGTCAATCAATCGAATATTTGTGCATATTTAACCAGATCGATCCGTTGTGAAATAAGTTTGAAAGCATGTAAGTAATGCCATTTCACCACATCATGACTCATCGCTTAAAAATTGCGACGATACCGAAGTTTGAGAACACCATTTCATATTTTTAGTTGATGTTGATTTTTCTCGTGCATAAACGATCAAAAACACGTTGTTACATTGTTTGTGTGAAAATCTAGTGAAATTACATCGCAAAATTGAATCGTGTTGTTTTTTTTTCATTCTCATTGCCAGCATGAATTCCAATTGGAACGATAATCTCGAGCAAGTGTTGCTAACGCACGAAGTGGGCATCGAATGTGAGATCAACAAAACGGTGGCTGCTTTTGAGTTGTTGGACGCACCGAGAAGCCCCACATTTGTATCGTGTTTCTTTGACATTTTGAATAGTCGGTAAGTACTTTCGCCACGGTACTTGCATAAGAACAATCTAATCAATCAGTCGGTTCGTTCCAAGAAAATCAGACTGTCCGGTTGCTGCTATTGATATTTGCTATTCACCAGAGACAACACAACATCTGTCATTCAGTTTGGTTGTTCGGAGTTGGACCAAATCCATCTCTTTCGCTCTCACTTTTCGTTTGTCAAATTTGGTATATCGGTGAATGGCAAATATCAACGACATCAGCTAGCCTGGCTAAGATCCGAAGAATATTTTTATGACTTTTTCGCCAAAAAGTGTCCATTAAAAAATGCACGAATTCGTTTTAATGTTGATTCTATTTTCGGTTTATAGAATGAACGAATCATTGCGTAAAATTCAAATGGAATACTTGATGTCAATGCCAGCCCACAATAATGATATTCGCCGTGATTTGAAATCGAATAATAGCGTTGTCATCAGCACATCCAAATGCAGTACACCACCGCCAACTTCATTGCGAAATGACACAACGACTGACGATGATATTGCCGCAATTAACACAATTGAAGTTGATGCAAATGAAATAAAGCCGTCAATTGAAACCGCACAAACCATGGAAGAGAATATTGAGGCGGCTATCATGGAAATTTTGAACGATGTTGACGATACGACTAGCCGAGCGCCTGAAATTCAGACCGATAAAAGTCAACAAGAAGAAGATAAAATAGAAAAGGCGCCGGATGAAACAGCTTTTGATGAAGCTGAAAACAGTGAAGCCACAGAAGTTGCATCCATACAGATCGATGAGCCAAAATTGGAAACGGGCGGTCATGATCAGATTGACAACATACAAAACGACCAGGCTCAGTACGAAGAAGTAAAGACCGAAGAAAGTCAAATCAACGAAGCAACGACCGTCAATACCACCAAAAATTCAGAAGAACAAATCAACGACATCGATCTTGATTCAATTCCACTGCCAAGTTCAACACCACCACCGCTCTTAATCATGTCGCCGAAATCATCACCAATTGCTCCAATGACGACACCATCAGAAATGACGCAATCCATACCGCCAGTGAATACTGAACTCGATGGTGGCATCAAAGATAGTATGAATGATCAATCAGTATTGGGTGAGGCGGATACAATTAGTAATGATTCACTGAAGGATGATCAAAGCACCAGCGATGATTTATTGGGCTTTGATGGTCCCATTTTATTGCCAGTTGGCATGAAATCATTAAAAAGGAAGAACGTCGACACATTGGAACCAAATGAAGAAATTGTCAAAAAACGAAAAATATCCGTCGACATTGCGGCCGATACACATGTCATATCACATGAAGAAGGTAATATAATGAAACATGTTGTATTTTTCCCACTCTAAAAATATGATGTTTTAGTCGTTCTCTCATCAGATATAGTGGATGAGCCAATGCAAATCGTAAAAGCGGAATCAGTGCCAACCGTCGCCCAAGAGCCAATTGACGGCCAACAAATGGAGGTATTTCAAAATCAGAGGCCACAGCACATGGAATGTGCATACAATCACAATACGGTTCCGTATCACGTCGTTGGCTATACCATTCCGAACATTCCGAAAAATATGGATCCAAATGTTCACTGTAAAAATGGTCCGTTCACCTGTGTTCTATGCGACAAGACAAATATAATGCCGATGCATTACAGCATGAATCATGATAATGTGGATGTGTTCGTATCAAGACCGTCACCAAAGATGGCACAACGAGTTATGCGAAAAGCAGAAATGTCCACACAGAAAGTCGACGGTAGCATTAATGCGTTTTGTTTTTTCTGTGAAAAATCGTTTGTCATGACGAATATTGAATGGAAAGATCACATTCTATTTCATACTGGTGAACTCGGATATCATTGCCAAAATTGTCGCATACAGTTGCCAAAAAAGATGGACCATGGTGACTGTACAGCAGATTCGGTCGTTGATATTTTTGATGGTGATTCCAATGCATTGATGCTGTACATGTGCAAATGGTGCAACTATATGCAGGTAATTTGAAACTGAAGAGAAGGAAGTTGCACAAAATTTTAATTCACCACGACGTGGAATGGACTGTGGTGACCATCCATTACCCCTACGAAATTAATGATTTACTATTTTTGCAGGTACACAAGTCCCGAATCATGCGCCATTTGAAATACGAACACGAAAAAATCGATATAAATTTTAATCGTAACATTGAACGAGTCTATGTAATACCAGATTTGACTCCGGTAACTCATACCATAAATTCACCGTACAAATTGTTGATTGATTCAAAACGCTACATTTGCAGCGTCGGGCAATGTAGTGGCAAAGAATTCGCCAATTCAACGGAATTTAAAAGTCATTTCATGCAACAGCACAATGATGAAACAAGATTTGCGTGTCCACATTGTGATATTGTGATTGAAAAACAGCATCGAAACTTAATTTCCGACATTTTGGGTCATTATGGACTTCATGGTCATTATTTGTTTGAGTGTCCATTATGTGAAATAATCTTTGCAGCGGAATACGACATTCTTCAACATTTTGTTCGCAATCATACCAATGAAAGTATTAAGTACTTCAACAACTGGGCCCAGATGCATGGCGTCGGTGAAAAACGGGAGTACACGATTTTTTTACAGTGCAATGTATGCAATGCACATCTTGAAAATAGTAACAAGGCTATCGAACACTTTTTAACCGTCCATAAATCGTATTACATGGATTGTGAAGCGATTAAAATGGTGAAAAGAACAACCATCGATAGCACAACCAGTGCCATTGCCAAAGATAAGAAAATCTTTACGTTGCGTCGTTCATTGAATTGCAAGCTGTGCGATCAGTTGTCAAAGACAAAAGGAATGTTAATCGAACACTTCAATCGGGACCATCCAGGACATCAGATCGTCGCAAAAATGGGCAAAATCTATGTGGAAAATGTGACCTGGGACAAAAACTACAAGGATTTTTCCATACAACATTTACGTTTTGATAATCACTTGGTATTTTACTATAATATACATATTATAATTCAATTATTATGTTACTTTTTACTATAATTCAGGTATTCTACTGTGCTGCCTGCCATGACGCGGAACAATCATCGACCAGCAGAGCATTTGTTAATGTTTATGACGTTCATGCCCATTGGATGTTAACACACACCAAATCGACCGATTCAAAGCCGTTTCGATTTTATGCCGTTGAATTTGTTGCATGCTATTATTGCAAGCTGATCAGTACATTCGACGAAGTAAAACGACATCAACAAGCTGCACACACAAACGAACCACTTGTCATTACAAATATATTAAATCGACAAAAATGTGCATTGTGCGATTATTGTGCCGATAACCTTGCGTATCATTTGAAAACGGCACACGAACTAGTATTGCGAATGAACGAATTCAACCTGACTCGATTCACCGACGAAACCTTGAGCAAATTGCTGGCCATCGAAGTTTACAAGAAATACAAATGCCACTATTGTCTGGAAGTTTGCGAAACAAAAGACAATATTAAGCAGCATATCACCAACGATCATAAGCTACCAATCAAATTTGATACATTCGTTGATAATCACAACGTTAAAATCATCGCCGGGTGCTGTGAATCGGTTATTGATCTACAAGAATTTTTAAACCATATGGCTGATCCGAATCACGTTTTTAAGACGTATTGCGCAAAGTGCAATTTTCGCACCGAAAAATTGGACGAATTATTCGAATTTGTTAAGCATCAAGTCACCGTACATAGTGCCTTAATCGATCCGGACTTTCTATTTCGACGCCTTCTTAAAACCAAATTCTGGCAAACTCAAGTCATCTTTGGCAACGGTTTGGTGTTGACCAAGCACAATCTACTCGGAACAGGTAGATTTAAAAATTATGAAAATATGCCTTCAATTTCATGACTTCACTTTTGTTTACAGAATTTGACGACAGCAAACCATTCGACGAATTGATTGAACATCTACTGAATGTGGCCAGAGAGAGACACATGGCCAAAGATGACAAAAAAAACAACACATTTTAATTCACGATTTTTTTATTATAGTTTAATGTCATTTTCATTCCATACTTTTTTGAGGTATTTTCTCTTGACATACCAATTTTTTTACCAAACAATTACCGACAAATTTTTAAATGAAAAAATAACAAATACTCCGCTACAATCGGATTCTAATTTTTTCATAAAAAATGATTTAATTACAATCAAAATTGGCATAAAATTGCTGAACAAAAAAAAAACAAGCAAAAGATATTATTAGGCCAGTTCCTAATTTCATAAAATAAACATTACATTTTGATTATGTATTCAAATCGAATTTCAAATAAATAAACTCTTTCCGAATATTTTTTGGACAATTGTGTTGACTAATATTTGTGAATATTGAAGGAAATACAGACAGCAGAGACGGAAGATAATCGGTGATTGGGACTATAGGAGTCTCACTGAAAGGAAGCCTAATAATTTATGTGACTTTCGTCCATCGACTTTATTTATGAAGCTTTCTTCCTACACAATAAAAAATAATGTTCATTATTTTGATAAAATGGTGTCCTTTGCAAAAATTTGCTAATTGAAATTATCAGCTGCGTATAAAAAATCAAAACAGTTGATCAAAAATAGATATCGCACAAATTGCTTCATATCGCATCAAACAATTACAATTGTACAAATCAATTTCATTGTGTGCGCAATACGCAACGCTTTCATTAGTGCTTGCAGCAGTGGTCTGATGTGAACGGTGCTTGTATTGGTATATACACTCGACGATATGCATATATATGAAAATCAGCAAACAAACACACACAAACAATAGTTGTGGTATGTCACTGTGGCATTTGCGACGTAATATAACCGCAGAATATTAAATTGCCAGAAAAAGCCGAAAATAGGTAATTAACCCATTGTTATATTTAATTTGGAGATTTTTTTCAAATTATTCATTGAAATAAATCAATCAATATCATGACTACCGTGAATTATATAGAAAACCATTTAAATCTGGTTTATATTTTAACAATATCGGGTCAATCGGCCCGCTTTGGTATAGTTTATTTTAGCAAATTTAGAATTAAGAATGAGGTTAGTGCTAATTTTCCGATTATTCTAGATTTTGATTGGATTAAACGTTGATTGGCAGAGGTGCTGCGCTGAAGATTCGATCGTTTAACTCGCAGTGGCCGTAGATTTGCTAAGCGGGGATTTTTTTTGCCGAGGTTGCTGAACCTTGTATGTTGAGTCGGTGTGCACGTCTGGTACGGTAAGTATTTCATATGCAATAGGCTAGTTAAAAAAAAAGCATTCCGTTTTTTCAAGCGGAATCTCAAAATTCATAGCGTGCTCAAAAATGAAATAATTGTGAATAGATACAATTTGGTGAGCTCAGCGTTGTCATTCAACTGCAATTGTACAGTCTTCACTACAAAGGTTACTCGATCAGAAAATTCAAAATGTACCAACAAAATAAGTATATTAGTTTTTTTGTTCTACAATTCACGTACGACTCTTTGTCTAACATGATTTGAATATGTATATTTTTTTTTTAATCGAAAAAATCAATTCCCCAAAAACTGCCACATCAATACACTAATCTACTGTTTTTTCCAGTGTTTTAAGTCGTCATGAGTAAAATTCAGCTGGATGACATATACCATCAACATGAACAACAAATTGAAAATGATTTAATACAAATGATGAATGGATACTTTGCATCTCTCAAGCGATCACCATCGAATCAAGCTGAGATGACACTCTTCTTTAAATCATTACGTATGCGGTGAGTGGCTTTAAAAAAATATTGATAATATTTCGTACGACATTTATTTTTCTTCATTTTTTTTCACACAAAGTATGTCAAACATTTGCAAAAGTGTTGGTGCCAAATGTAATGCTGATATGGTACAGCAAGAAGGTCAAGCAGACCATAAGATACCATTAGACGCGGCTGGGCATACTAGTTGGGCGAAAAGCAAAGACGAATCTGTAGCTGAAACCAGCTCTACAACTACTGATGTACAAACAGCTCCAAAGAACACATCACTTTCAAAGGACATTGACCAATTTCTGCAACGCACACGAATTGCCACAAAAAGATCGAGCTCTGAATCGATTGACGATGTTCGAAAGCAACGATCACGTCATTCGTATGAATCTGACATCCAAAATATTGAGCATCGAGCCTTTCAGAAGAAACAACTTTCATTTGAAATGGCAAAACAATTAAGATTTCAACTGTATGCAATTTTGCAGGCCGAAATACGGCCATCATCAAATGCCATCTGTACCTCTTGTTTTTTCTGCGAGCGAACGATGGAAGCGAGCTTTGACGCATGGAAGACCCATTTACTAAATCATACAGGCGAAAAAGAATTCTTTTGTGGCGGTTGTAACACTGCTTTGTCATCAAAAGTACTGCCGGAACATTGTGAGGGACATACGATTCGAAGTACTTTTAACAATGAACATTTGCAGGCATTTATTTGCAATATTTGTGAATACATCAAGATTAACCGCAATCGAGTCATCGAACACATTGTACACGATCACTCGAAACCAGTTTCAGTAGCTGAACACTATGTGGATAAGGTGACATTAATTCCGAACTTACGTCCACGGACTGAACCCATTCAGTCATTTAAATACAAATGTGTTGATGTACGGAATCGATTTGTTTGCGGTGTTATTGGTTGCAAATGGATTGATGGCTGTACACCTGATGAACTAAAATTGCATCTTAAGAACAAGCACATACGCGGCCGTACATTTCTGTGTCCACATTGTAATGAGATCATCAAAACGAGTATATTATACCATTTAAATTTGCACAGCAGCCATTTGTGCCAGTGTGGTGTATGCGATGAGAAAATAGTCGGTGAATTTAATCTTCTTGATCATATGTTGGACGAACACCGTGATAAAAATTGGGATTTTCGCCGTGATATTCGCCATTCAAAGAAATCGCCAATTTTACAAAAGATTCTCGCATTGTTCGAGTGCATGGTATGCACAGCGTATTTTCATACATATTCCGATGCGGTTGAACATTATTTATTTATTCACAAATCACATCATGCCGATTTTAAAATGATTCCATTGTTGAAACAAATGAACCGCGCCAACGAGATCAAGTGGCTGACGTCAATGAAATGGGATAAACTTTTGCAAAAACATTTTATGTGTTTATTGTGTAACAATATTCAATTGACGAAATGCCATCTCATTCGTCATCATGTCAAAGAGCATCAATCTAAAGAATTGTCCATAACATTCATCGATCGCTTCACCCAATACCCACATGAAGCCAAATTGCGAAATCACAAAGAAAACTTAAGCTTTGACCAGTATTTGATATACTATTGTGGTCATTGTGTCGATTTGCCGTTTGCCAATGTTCACGATGTTTACAACCATTGGCGGGCAAACCACGAACGAGCCGACGATGTGAAGCCATTCCGATTTGTTCCAGCAGAATTGGCCAAGTGTCGGTATTGTGATGTTATCGGTACATTTCAAGGACTTAAAGATCATCAAGCGAAACAACATTCGGCGATGCATTTTGTTATTGAAAATTTACTCGATCGTTCGAAATGTGGACTATGTTTGGCTGATTGCAGTGACAGTTTTTCCAAACATTTTGAAAACCATCATAAATCGGTGCTTGAGACCAATCTCTTTAGTCCAATCGTTCTTTCCGATTACACTGTGAAGAAACTCAGGAATATTGAAGAACATAAAAAACGAAAATGTGGACATTGCACCGAAATCTTTGAAACAAATGATGAATTTTATAAACATCATGACACTGTACATCATCCACACAATGATATTTCGGAGACATTCCACGACAATGAAAGCAGCCATTTAATTTGTGGCTGCTGTAATGAAAGACTCAATCGAAATGTGAAACTGTTTGATCATTTCATAGAACGGGAGATTGATTCGGTGGAGAAATCTTACTGGAAAACAAAAGTGGTATTTGGCAATTACAACTACCAAATCTCAATTTAAAGCAATTGCTGGACATTATTGTTGTTTTGGCTATTGCTTTGCAAATTTTTCATTATATATTTCCGATTATTTTTCGATTATTTTCCGATTACTTATCGATTATTTTAAATTTTATTCTTTTCTTTTGTGATTCTCCCCTTAGGTATTTGGCAATGGACTGACTTTGAATAAACACAATTTATTGGGCACTAAACTTGATGATAGCTATTTAATCAATGAATAAAACGGTAAATTTTGACTATTTGCATTTAATGATAGTCACTTATGAACTTTAATCACATTTTTCAATTTAATTCTAGGAAAAGTTTTAACTCTCATGCAGTACATCTGAACGACAATCAAGAAACAAGTGGAAAATCTGAATTGTAATTGGACACATAGCTACTTCAACATCTTTATGAAATTTTTGTAATGAAATGCTTTTTTGACAAGCTTGTTGCTTTTTCCAACTTGCATGATTCTTTTTCTTGTTCAGGCCTTACAATCCTGATCTCTAAACAATATGAAAAAAATTGTTTTTATTATTGAAAAAAAAAAAAAATCATAAAATTTTGAATTGTAACCTCCTTATATTAAAAATAAAATTAGCCAAAAAAGAAACAATTGAAAAAAAGAAGGCCAAAAATAAAATGCTGCCACTAATTGAGATCATTCAACATTACAATTGTTTGTATCGCCTGCATTTATTGTAATGAATTTTATTGAATTTTTCCCATTGAACTTTCGAATAAATAAAAGCTACACAATCATAATTATCATTATACTTTGTTAATATTATAATGTGGAAGCCCGTAAAAAATATATCGAGGCTATCGTCATCTCTTCAGGATCTTAGGGTGGATTATGGCTCAAACGAGATAATTAAAAAAGGCAATTGATTTAATGTATGGCGTTTCATTGACTGTATCAAGAGGTTGTTCTTGTTCAAGCCATGAAACAATAGCTGGTCCCAGCCCATTTCTTCAATAATAATCCCGTACAATTGATTGTATTCGAGTATCCGATCTATAAATTGATAAAAAAAATTATATTTATATTTATTTATTTTTTTACTTTCATAGATTGTTGTAACAAATTCACGGAACACACTTTGTAATCCTCAATTTTTGATTTTCTCAAATTTATCCTGTCCGATACAAAATATATCATTAGTTGAAGTAATCTAATCAAAAATCTCAATGAACTTACAATCGGATTTACTTGGCTGGTCCAATCGAATTTAATATGAACCGTTAAAGCAATTTCATCAAGAAATCTCCTCCAATCTCTTTTTGCGCAAATAATAACTACTTCAGAGTTATTTTTTACATCGAGCGCCATATTGACTGCGCTCATCTCTCGATTATGGAACCGTTTATTTGGTGCTTGGAAAAGTTGGTGAACATGTGAGTCTTATGTCTAATTTAAATGTGCATATTAATGCGAGTAATAACAAAGAACGAACCATTTCTCGGAAAACAATCAACTTATCCATTGTAGTCAATTCACAATTTTTCCATCGACGTTCAAATTCTGAATCGAGTATTGTGATGGCAAGGACAAAGTAGTTTTTCCACCGACCAAAATGATATAGAGTTGGAATTCCATACACCTCTTTTTCGGTATTATTCACAGCACCCAACGTTTTATAAGCTTGATGTTCATTTTTGGCATAATTTTCAAATTCAGCCGGGATAAATTTCATTGCCACTTCTTTGTCGATCGTAAGCAATGTACCTTCGATTTGAATTCAAATTCAAATATAAAATTTTCTCAAGTAAATTGATGATTAAACAAACCTTTGAAATTCAAGGTTTAAATATTTTACCTATTCTTACACCTTTGTTTGCAATTCGTTCCAATAGTCTTTTGGTTACAGCGTGATCACCTTGAATCTATAGACATTTTCTAAATTATGAATTAACAATTGATTAAAATAAATAGTTACAATAACAGGCAACAGGCAAGAAAAAACTATACTTATGAGGAACGATTACATTTTTGTGATCAAAATAATTATTTTGTTATGCGTTTAAATGACTCGGTCTGAAACTGCCATTTATATGCCATCGAATTAACACGAGTTTTGAATATAAAATGAAAAGTAAACATTCTGTAGTGAATCATCTGAATTATATACATATTGACGACAGCAATACCATCCAAATCTATTGGCATATATGAAAATTTATATTGCCACGTTAAAAACTTTATTACACACAGTGGGTGTGGGTGTGCAGAAAAGTAAAATAAATGTAATGAAGAAAGAAAGAAAGAATTATTCAGATTAAATGAATGTTTATTTGCCTATAAGCATATGCTATTGTATATGTGTTCATCGAATTTAATGATTGAATTCACCACAAAATTATTTTGACTCAATTACAGAACTGTTTTTTAATAAAACCGATTTATCACTAAAACAACGTTGACTTGTCAATAAATTGAATAAAAGAAATGATTTGAGTCCAAAATGTGATCGTGTGTTTTTAGTTCCAGTATTTTTTTATTAGATTAATATTCGATTCTCAGACTTTCTGAATATTTATTTAATTAAAATTTTGGTGTTCAAAATTTGTTATTGTTATTTTTCTTCATTATCGAAAATTGATCAGAAATTTCACACGTCAATATGTAGATTCTGATGTAATAGATGACGAAATTTATTCCGTTATTGTTCGTTACTAGGTTTTTTTAAATGCACAAATGAATATGGAATTTCACTTCGGAATGCTTTGATCGAAGTATTAGAAAATGCGAATGTTTCAATGGGACAGGTTCTAACTACTTCAATTAAGTCAGTTAATCTCTGAAGATCACTTGTGTATTTCTCAAAATGAAGGCGATGCTTGAAAATATAATTTGCTTTTGCGTGGCATTATTGCCGTTGATGGTAGTATCGATTTTGATGCTTTGCGAATTCTTTCAATCGATATTTGTGAACAATGCGTAGACTCAATGCATCCAAAATCATGCTGCAACCAAAAGACTTTTGGATAAAATGGCCATAAAAGGCACTAATATCAGCAAAATATTCCGACCATCAGTAAATGGAAGTCTTGGCCAGGGAATGTCGGGTTTGACGTACAAAGGTTTGTTTAATCATCAATTTACTTGACAAATGTTTATATTCAAATTTGAATTCGAATCGAAGGTACATTGCTTACGATCGACAAAGAAGTGGCAATGAAATTTATATCGGCTGAATTTGAAAATTATGCCAAAAATGAACATCAAGCTTATAAAACGTTGGGTGCTGTGAATAATACCGAAAAAGAGGTGTATGGAATTCCAACTCTATATCATTTTGGTCGGTGGAAAAACTACTTTGTCCTTGCCATCACATTACTCGATTCAGAATTTGAACGTCGATGGAAAAATTGTGAATTGACTACAATGAATAAGTTGATTGTTTTCCGAGAAATGGTTCGTTCTTTGTTATTACTCGCATTAATATGCACATTTAAATTAGACATAAGACTCACATGTTCACCAACTTTTCCAAGCACCAAATAAACGGTTCCATAATCTCTTTAAGGTACGGATAACGAAATATATTCACAGCCGTGGCATCTGTCATGGAGACACCCGTATAGACAATATAATGTTTCGACGGAATCAAGGCTTCATCATTGGTGAGTTTAATTATTTTTTTTTTTCATTTGTGATTTTTCATTTAAAAAGTGCCATTTCGATTGAACTCAGATTATAATTTGGCTATCGATGTAAAAATGAACGCCAAAGTCGTTATAACTTGTGCGAGCAGAGACTGGCGAAAATTTCTCAGTGATATAGCTAAAACGGTTGAAATCGAAATTGATTGGAGTAGCTTCATAAACCCAGTTGTAAGTATATCGATGTTTGAGTAGTTTTTTTACTAAAATTCAATGTATCTCTTTGTTTTCGCAGCATAAATTTGATCAAATCACACATGAAGGTTTGAAAAGAGTTTTTCGTGCATTTACAGCGACAATATACGAAGGTAGGATAAAATAAATTGTCTTACATCCGTAAGATGAACTTTTCCGCACTGTGATCCACAACATACATTTATTACAAATATTTTACTCAAAGAATTCACTAGAAAACTGAATCTGACATTAGTTTTACGATACAAATAATTTTTTGAAGCACTTTTCATACAAAAACTACTAAAGATGGGAATTTTTGAATCGCAGCCATGCCTATATGATATCGTTATCATGTGAAAATTTGCATAGGTTAACATAAATAAGGCTAACATTCTGAAAGTTTGAAGAAGTTTCAATGCATATTAATTACTTCTCATACAAATTTAGTTTTTGAGCGAAAAATCTAAAATTTTGTTTGGGAGGTACCCCTAATATGCATTGAAATGTCTTCAAACTCTCGGAATGTTATTTTTGTGTGATAAAAACAACCTGTGCAAAGTTTCCGCTCATTACGATATCATTCAGGCATGGCTTCCATGTAAAAATTCAATTTTTTTGAAATTTTTGTATGAAAAGTGTGTCGAAAGTTATTTGTATCGCAAAACTAACGTCATATTCGGTTTTCTCGTACCCAAAAACCCCCCAACACTTCACTCTGTCAACCAAAGTTGCTCAAAATCTAATGGTTTCTATTCCTCGGCACCCCCAATCATCCTGGGAAGTCAGATTTTGAATTACTTTTCTTGTTTGAAAGTTATCGTGTTAACAAATTTTTGCGTACAGCGTACAGCGTACAGGGTACCACGCACATACATTCGGACATCGAAAAAACGTTAGATTCGTGTTCCCTGGTTCCTAAAACACCCAGAAAACACATTTTTGATGAGTGTTAATTTTTCGACCGATTCCAATACTTTACCTTACACACTAGGTGTGTGCGGAAAAGTAAAATCTTATTGCAATAAAAAACCTAAAAAAAAACATTTGAACGGAAACCAAAAGACATGATCATTTCCGTTTTTCTGTTTGACACCTTGAAATCGGATTTCAAAAAGTGAAGGAAATACTTAATTTTCTATTTAAATTACTATTTACAGATCGAATACTTGAATACAATAAAGTATACGGAGTTATACAGGAAGAAATTGATCGCTTGAAAAAGCATGTGGTACCTATAGTTTCATGGATGCAACATGAACTAGTTGAGGAGAAGTTTTCCAATTTGTCACTCGATGAAGTACCATCCATTGAGTCGATTAAATTTTTCAATTATAGCGTATGATTCTGAGGATAACGAAAATATCAATGTAAATTTAACTTCGACAGTGTCCTTTAGAAATTAGCAAAAATAAATGAACCAGAAAACATATTGTTCAAATGTCTGTTTGATAAAACACTCCCAGTTTTTCTTTAAGTTTTTTCACATTCATTTGGTTTCTAATGAGGTTTCGCCCTCATGAAAACAACTCGTGCTTAGTGACCTATTTCGTGAAATTGTTGTCTGCATATTTGTCCATTTATTTTTCTTGTTACATTTAAGCGTGGCAATTCAAATAATATATGGCAGTCATTAAGTGCGGATGGTAAAAGCATGGATTAATTCTATACGGCGTTCACTTTAGAAATATGAACATATTTTCATTCCAATGCAGCCACAAAATTGGCTTAATCTTTGAGTAGTCAGAAGAAATCAATCATTTAATTTGTGTGACAAGCCTGTTATTTCGATTTTGATAATTAATCTTTTTGTTCAGATCTGAAGAAAAATAAATCGAAAATCCAAGTTTCCAAATGGAAAAAATGACCGGAATATCCGATTTTGTTAAAAAAAATATGATCAAAGACATCGAAACTGAATTCGTGATTCATCGAAAAAGAATGAGATTATCTGTTAACAAAAATGCAAAAATTAAAATGATGACATGCTTTAAGTTTGGAAAAAATTTCATTTAACAAATAAAAGACAAAATCGTCTCCTGCTTCTTTAAGTAAACAAAAATGTTTCTTTAATAAATGATTATTTATTCGTTCAACGTTTATTCCATTCTATTTATGTCGATTGTTTAATCAGCACTTTCCTTTCAAGAACTTTACACGATTGTGTCTGTTCATTTTCGCATCCATAATGTTTTCCAACACTTTTCGATTCAAATCATTATGTGTGGCGACAACGAAAAATTGGCAGATTTTCGTAAGACCCTTGAAGACTGTACGGTTAAAATATATTTTGATATATTTTGTGTTTATTTATGTCAAAGAATTTTTTTATTTTCTAAATAAGACTTTTCCTTGACGCAAATGTCTGAAAATTCACCATTCAAGGAAGAACGTATGAAACAAATATCTCTTATGCACACCAATTCTTTTGTTAAACCCACTCAGTTCAAGTGATTCTTGAACCATCCTCAAGTCGAAAAGTGGGCACCGGTATTGAAAGAACTCGTGGAAAAAACAATGCGAGGAAGATGAACAAAAATAAACCTCTGATGATTTTAACAATTCAACATTATGCAAAATCGAATTTAATTTATAATTCAACTAAATAGAATTAATTAAAATCTTCTGTCGAAAAATAGTGCGTTTTAATTAATTGCGATCAATGAGCGGATGTGAAGACTTCAAGTCTCTTTGAGCCGACGGTGGCGCATCGAATTTCAAAGGGGACGTCAATGTAATTTTACAACTCAAATCGAAACTAAACAGCGCGCCAATTTTAAAATTTGCTGTCATTTCCTCCCATTGATTGCGATTAAAATCGGACCTTGAAATAATTGAGTTTGCAAAAAATGTCATACAAAAGATAAGGATTTTTTTCGCTCTTCGATTCAGCGAGATTATTTTAAAGTAAATACTGGCTTGTTTATCTATACTGCGACAATGTCGTTTCACTTTTTTTTATTTGTTTAAAATTGCAATAAATCAGCACTTTTCATAAATAAACTTCGCACGGCTATATGATTCAGTACCAAAACTCTTGATCACTTTAAATCAAACTGTCTGTCCAAAAAGCTGTATTAATTCATTCGGAATCGATTGAAACCATCATGGGTGACGATAATAAAAAATTGGATGATTTTCGTACAACGCTGGAGGAAAGTACGGTTAAACAAAAATTGAATTATTTTCGTGCGTTTCGTTTATTTCAAAATATTTTTAATTTTAGTTTTTTCCTTGAGCAGTCGGACTCCATCCAAACAGGAGTGCTTACGGACAATATCGCTTATGCATACCAACTCTTTTGTTGAGCCGGCTAAATACAAACAACTCTTGGACAATCCACAAAAGCAATATCTGCTACCAAAAATGAAAGAACTCGTGGAAGAATTGAAGAATGAAAGTGAAAATAAATAAAAGTCACACATTTCAACCAATTCAAATTCATTTTGTGATTCGTCTGAATAACGTGGAATAAATAGGGCAATTAGCAAACAATTTCTTTTGTTGTGATTTGCTAATAGGGCGATTAGCAAACAAATAATTGAGTTTCATTTGATGCGCTGAAAATTATGAGTTTTTTCTTAGATCATAAAAGTTCAAAGTAAGTAAAAACCTTCTGTTCGTCGCTTGCAATTGCGCTGATATAAATCAGTCCTCTTTATATAAACATCATATATCTGACTGAAGTGAAAGAAAAAAAATCAGATGATAAAATTGGTATTGTAAATTATCAAACTGACTCACGCATCACTGTCAGCTGCTGTGAAGCTCGCTGCACGTTTACACAACCACCAGTTAAGTTTTCAGTTTTTTAATACCAACACAATCAAGTGCGTATGTAATAGACCAAGAGCCACTCTAACAATAAACTTCCTTTGCAATAAAACTATATTGAATATCCAGACATACAATAAACCGTACCGAAATTATGCCCAAACTGTCACACTGTTAGCGCCACGACGGAATTCAATGTAATCTACACTAAGTTGCCGCCAAATAGTGAAAAGACTTTTGCTCAGTTGCAACCAACAGACTAGAACTCCATAGTTGTTCGTAGTGGCGCTAGCAGTGCTACAGTTTTGCATTTTATACAGTCTCTTATGGAGCATAATTTCTGTGTGCAATAAACAAATAATCATCCTTCCTTTTGTCACACATACATTGTTTTTGCTACTGACTATTTTATGTTTTTCTTGTTTTTTGAGACAATTTACTTTTTTAGTGTAACAGCGTGTTTCGCTGATGATGTTTGCACAGTAATGCGTACGAAACATGGTACGAAATGCATTCAATATAATAAAGTTTGTGACAATCAATTAACAAACCGTTTGGTTTTGTATCTTGTTTTTGTTTAAAAAAATGTAAACAATTTCATTAACTCTAATTACATGCATTTGTATGTAAATATGGCTTACCTTCACACTCATTTTTTTTTCACAATCAGGTAAACATTTTTCATCTCTTACCTTTCTCCGTGTTTCGGCACATCTTTTACTACCTGAATATGTGAAAAAATAATAACACCTTTAAAAAAAATTGAAGAAAATAAATAGAAGAAAGTCAGGTATAATGATTCAAACATTTTATATTTCATACAAAATGTATAGGGGTCCAGCCAGGCACCATGTGTCGGTCCGAAGATGTACTTTTTATGCATCCTTATAATATCTTTTTCCAAGCACCTTTTTTCATTACTTTTTTTATAAATCGTTAGACAATAAAATTTTAGGAACTTGGACGGAGGATTAATTCCGCACTATTATTCGCGAAAAAAGTGTCTTTGATGTAACATGCTGTGTCGGCACCATCGTCAAATTGGAAGAGTTCTCCGGTTTTTGTGATGTTCTTCGGCTCCTCATCCATTGCAGTAGTGTGTGCTTTGGTCAAATAATCAGTAGTGATCAGGTGTATTTTTATTTTTTTATTGGTTTAGTTACATTTATAAAAACTCTTTTTCTTATAATCTATATACTATATGAGTGAGGGGCCCCACATCAATCGGATGATTTTGGATATTTCGTGTATTAGATAAAATAGAGCGAGTGATTTCGTAGCACCACCGCCGAAACTGTTTTATATGCGGAAACTATTATTATATTATTATTATTTTTTCTCAGATAACAATTTGATGGCATATTTTTTAATTTTTAATTTTTTTAGGATTTTTTTACCTTACGAACTAACTTAAATTACTACTATTTTTTTTCTGGTGTTAGCCCTCAAATCTTTATTTATATTTATTCCTCGTCGCTCGAAGTATCGCCCGAAGTATCGTTCGAAGAACCATATTCATATGACGTGACTGGATCGAGGTCGAGCAAGTATCGTAATGCAATATCGTTTCGGGAGTAACAAAAAAACAACATGACATGACATTCATTGTTAATTAAAATGTCTTTTAAATCATCAAAGTTATAATCGTGGGCATTTTTAACTATCGTGCAACTATTCGATAATATAGCATTTTCCACTTCATTTCCTGATTCACTTACTTTCAGTGTCAATAATCTCTTTACTACTATTTTGCCATTGTTTTTTACATCAAAGTCATAATTTTGGCCTTTG